GTGTGCTTGCCAGAAAGACAGAGAGAGACAGAGAGACAGAAAGCGAGAAATCACTCCCCGGGGTGGATGGCCACGCTGCAATCCCTTCTCCTCTCAGGATCCTGGGCAAGCACTCGGCGTGAGTTTAAGCCACTGGGTCCGGGACTTGAACTGCAGTTTACTACATGAGAGTCCAGCAATGTAGCTATTACGCCATCTACTGGTCCCTTTACTTATTTTTATTCTTTTATTCACTTATATTTTTAAATTTTTGCTATAGGGTGCATGTATTCACCAGAGAGAGAGAGAGCACCCTGCATGGGAGATGGTCACGCTGCAATCCCTTCTCCACCTTCTCTCCCTTCTTTTGGGACTTTGGACTTTGGATAGTCACACGAGATCCAGCCGCTCAAACCACCATGCTGCCTGCTGGTCTGACGTTTTCGATTGTTGTTTCCTTATGTAATAGTACTTTTAGATAATACGGTAATAAAATGCAGTCTTCACATCTTAAAAGTTCTACCCATATTTTATGTAATAAAACATAATCCTTTGTTTTAAATTATTACCTCAAACTTTTTATCCATAATCTGCAGAACTATCTTGAGAGATGAATACTTTCTTGTTTTTATTATTCTAAAATGTTTCCTTTTAGAAAAGCATTTGAAAATATTTCAATTAAGTATTTTGAACTTCTGAGTCTAATATTCTACTAAATAATGGCATGTGTAATTTAAAATTAGTTACATACATATTGAAAATGTTTGTAATTCTCTTTTCCTTGTTAAATAAGTAAAAGGTAGTTTTTGATGCAAGAGTTATTCAGGGTACCATAAAAACTTAATAGTATCCTTATCCAAATTTGCTTATATAGTTTTAAGTATAAAATGAGATAATTTTAACCTCACAGGTAAGAATTATTTTTTAAAAATAACATTGCATTCTGCTACTAAAATTCTCAACAACCAGAAGTAAGGAGAAAGAAAAAGGTCAGTGGTGTGGTAACACTTCAGTTCTCAACATAACTCAGTTACATTAAGAAGGAGTTTTTTAAAGAACTTCTGCAATTACTGCTGGCAGTAAAATACCCAGTGTATGAATCAGTGTATGTATCAATTTCATGAGACTAGATTCACAATAAGTAACTGTAGTTGATTACTTGTAACAGACAAATAATATTCAATGATAAAGGTGATCCTTAAAAACAGTAGTCTCCAAAAACAAGTTTTCCTATGAATTTAAAACATTTATCTCAGATTCTAAATAATTGTTAACCCGCTGCATGTTGGAATCACGTTCAAGCCGTAGAAAGTGCTAGTATGCAGGCCTCTGCCCCAACTGACCACACCAGAGTCTCAGAGCCCAGGGCTGGTATTTCATCTAAGAACCAATGCTTTGGATATTCTATAAACTGTTAGGAGGAAGAACTTTGCTTAGAAAAGCTTTGCTTTACTCACCAATAGGGAGGCCTAGCTAGTCCATGCAGTCCTGCTTCTCTCAGCTGCTCTTTCTTGCGTTTACTAAGGCTTTCATTCTTTTTTTTTTTTTTCAGTTTTATCATCATCATTATTATTTTTAAATTTGTTACAGGGCACGCATGCTTATGGTGGGGGTGGGGAGAGAAAGTGCGAAAGCAAGCTGCCAGGTCCAGGACTCAAACTGGACAGCCACGTGCAAGTCCCATGCCTTCACCACCACGTCCCTTGCTGGCCCCAAGGCATACATTCTTTACATATGTCTCTTAACTCTGCATGGAAACACACATTGCACCAGGCCCTAGGGAAAATACTACGTCATCGGAAGTCATGATGTATTTTTTCTATGCATTTCTAGACAAAACTGCATCATGATTTTCCTGATGACCCAATGTATGAGTGACAGCTCGCCCCCACCTGTGAGAACAGGTCTTTATGTTGTTATTAAAGTTGAAGACACTGCCCTGTGGAAGACAGACAAACCTGATGTTCGAGTGTACTTTGGAGTCACACCTATCGAAATCCACACCCTAACAATATGAGTGTGGACATAGTTGTGAAAATGCCTGTGCTTCAGTTTAATTACTAGTAGGGTGGGTGTAATAGTATCAGTCCCATAAAATATATTTTTAGAAGTATTTATTTAATTTAATTTATTATTATTGTTATTATTACTATTTTGATTTGCTATAGGGCACACACTTTTACCAGCGGGAGAAAGAGAGAGGGAAAGTGAAAAAGGAAGCCGTCAGGTCAGGGACTTGAACTGTGGTCAGCCATGTAGGAATCCAGTGCCCCAACCACCATGCCACCTACTGGTCCCAAGAGTTTTAAAGATGAAGTGCTTTTAAAAATAATTAGACATTTGCCTGGAATAAATAAATACTTATTATGATACACCCGTTTTTATTACACAGTCCTCGCACCCGTGACCCAGCTCTCACACCAGTCAAGCAGCATGGCCCGGCCTCGTGGCACAGGTCAGAGCGTCCTGCATTGTGGGTCTTCTAGAAGACAGGGCCTGGGCAGTTCAATTCGCAGTGATAGTGTTTGACATTGTCTCCTTAGCCAAGTAATTTATCACTGATTAGTGTTTCTAGTATACTATTTGAACAGGGACCAGCACTTGGTGTAATGGCTATGTCGCTGGACTCCCATGTAGTCAACTGCAGTTCGTGTCCTGGACCCGGTGGCTTAAACTCAGGCCAGGTGCGTGTGCGTGTGTGCTCAAGATCCCGAGAGGAGAATGGAGGAGAAGGGATTGCGGCGTGGCCATCCCCCCTGGGGGGTGATTTCTCGCTTTCTGTCTCTCTGTCTCTGTCTGTCTGGCGAGTGCATGCGCCCTATAGCAAAAACCTCTTCAAAAAAAAAAGAATAGTATACTATTTGAACAAACACAGTGTAACAGAGGACTTTACTAGGATGGGTAATTACAATGAAAAACTCAATTATTCTGTGGCATTTGAAAGCCACTGTGATATTAATATACGTAAGTGAAATTCATCATACCATATTATGTAACAATAATTTTTGATAATTTCATTCATGCTATTCAAGGTTCATGAGCAGGAACTTTTATCTATATTTTTGAAGATCTAAGTTTCTCTAATTGGGTGAATTCTTAAGCCTCTTTGAAATCTGCCCAAAATGTAAAAAAGAAAAAAATTGAAGGCATAATACATGCAGCTTTCTAAGTGCTTGCCACTGATTTTCAGCAGACTGTGTTATTAGGTTTAATAGAAGGGTTTGAGGTCACATGACCCAGCGGCCTGCCGTGGAGGCTCACGCTGCTGACACTGATCTGAGGCAGGGCCCATGAGGGAAGCCCAGGTCCAACTTTGGGTCTACCCTGAAGTCCAGACACAGCTACGTGCCCCTGCTGCCCAGCAGCTTGGGGAGGCTGAGGCAGGAGGTGTCAAGCCCGAGGCTGGCGCCAGCAGCAGAGCAAGACCTTGCAAGGAAAGAGGAAGGCGTGGCGGTGCAGGACCTGCTGGGAGGCTGAGGCAGGACCCTGCAGAGTGAGAACCCTAAAAACAAGCAAACTTAGCAGACTCCATTTCTTCCAGGGAGCTATGTTGGTGATTTTATTTTACCTCTATGTGCTATCTTCAAAAAGTTGTCAGGGACCAGCAGTTAGCGTAATGGCTATGTCACGTCCTGGACCCGGTGGCTTAAAATTCATGCCGGGTGCGTGTGCGTGCGTGCCCAAGATCCCGAGAGGAGAATGGAGGAAAAGGGATTGCGGCGTGGCCATCCCCCCTGGGGCATGGTTTCTCGCTTTCTATCTCTCTCTGGTGAGCGCACTCGCCCTACGGCAAAAACCTCTCCAAAAAAAAAAAAAAAAGTTGTCAGAAATGCTAAACTTGTACTTTAATTAATTTTCCCACAAACTGAAATTTCAAAGTGCTCATCTGTTTCCAATGTCTAAGATCTATCATTTTAGAATAGACATATCTCTGTATATCATAACATTTTGTAAACCTCAAATATACCCAATAAAAGATTTTTTAAAAAGTAAAAATAAAAAATAGAAAAGGAAATGAAATATAGCCAGTATCTGGTGACTGAAAGACTAATAGTAGTGTTTTCTGTTGTTCTTTAAAGAATCGTAACAGACTCAGACTCTACCCAAGGGTTATTTCTGTTACCCCTGAGGGGCTCCCCAGCAAGCCTGGGCAGGCACTGGGGTTTCGCAGGTCCTCGATACATCAGTAAAATGAGTAGCGGGTGTGAAGCACAGTTTCCTAGCAGTAACTAGTTTGTTAACTAATTTTAAATACATTTTAAAGTTTACTTATTTCTTCTGAGAGAGAGGGAGAAGCAGTGCTCTACAATGTCTTCATGTCATATTCCATCCCAGCTGGAGAGCCTGGGGCCTCCGGTGTGGCCTTGGCACTGTGGAGTCTGTACCTCATGGCCAGTGTCATCTAAATACTATTATTCCAAAGGTCTTTATGTTGTAGTGTTTTAACAATAGCCAAGTATCATCAATAAATATCAATTTAGGATGTTGTGCTACGAAATACTACAGAAGTCAGAGCTTCATAAGGAAGCAATCTTTTAAAGGGCTTCTTTCATGAAAACATGTTGAAGACGGTTTTGCTATAAACCTTTAACTGATTTAAAAAATAGTCTACTTAGGGACCAGCAGTTAGCGTAATGGCTATGTCGCTGGGCTCCCATGTAGTCGACCGCAGTTTGTGTCCCGGACCCGGTGGCTTAAACTCACACCGGGCGCATGTGCATGCATGCCCAAGATCCCAAAAGAATGGAGGAGAAGGGATTGCGGCGTGGCCATCCCCCCTCGGGGGTGATTTCTCGCTTTCTGTCTCTCTGTCTCTGCCTGTCTGGCGAGTGCACGCGCCCTATAGCAAAAACATCTCCAAAAAAAGGAAAAAAAAATAGTCTATTTAAAGAATGTTGAAGACAGTGGTTCAAATAACTGAATATTTGAAATGCAAGGGGGTCAACGTTGCTCTTCATCTGACAACATAAATCTCCGAGTGCCTGTCGGTTACTAGTCACTCCTACATTTCATATCACCCTGGGGATCTTAGGTATTTAAAGATCAGATCTTCTGAATGAAGAAAGGGTTTATTTATTTACTTATTTATTTTTTAATAATAAGTAGCAAAACAATTGTTTTGTAAGATTGGGTTTTTGGCCCATTAAATATTATGCTTTTTAAATGTCACCAGGAGTCAAAAAAACAAGTGAATTGTAGGAAAGCTGAGACAGGGCTTAGAGAAAGGAAGACCAAAAGGGAGAATGGGTTGGAAGGGCGGACGGAAAAGGGGTTTAGACCTTAGGAAGAGGACAGGAGTCTGGAAAAAGCACTGGGATTTGTTTTTTGTTAGTCTTTTAAAAAGTGCTAGGTATTGGAAACATATAAACATTTCAAAAGTTTGTGGAAAAATGTAATTAAAATACAAGTTTATTTTTGTGCAAGATATTTTTAAATCCATGCATAGATTTTTTGATATGCATTTCTGTCAACTTTTTGAAGATAGCACATAGAAGTAAAATATATTCGTTTTTTTTTTTTTTAAAAAAGGTTACAACCATTTGTTACTGCTAGTAGGTAATTAACATGACCTATTCTGTCTTACGGTTTATATGACTGTTTAAAGCTGTATTTTAAATTATGCCTTTTTTATTTGCATTTCTTCTATGGTTGCCCCAAAGGGCATTATCATTATATTTAAAGTATTACGAATAAGAATGAAAGGTTTTGCATCAAGACTATATCCATCAAGACTTTATGTTTTTCATTATAACACCCTTTGATGTTTCATGGCTTTGTGGACGCTCATACTAGAAGGGCCCCACGAGCCGTGGTGAATGAGGCTGCAGTCCTGGTCTGGTGGAACCCCTCAGCACTGAGAGAGCTCCAGCGCTCTGTGCCCGCCTCCCTCCCAGTGGGACTGCATTGGTATAGAAGACTGTCTTTGGTTGAAAGTCATGTCTGGCTGCCTTCTTCATCTCTCACTTGCCCGCCCATTCTCCGTGCTAAAGTATCTGTTCTATTGCAGCCGTGCCTCTCCATGTCTCGATCGTGACAACAGCAGGTGACTTCGCGTGCCCTTCTGTGGAGATGCACCTTCTCCTCCCCCCATTGCTGACTCCTGCAGACACCCCATCTCGGGGAGCTTTAGTGCAAAGATACCTAGCCAGAGGGACAGAGAGGCTCATGTTCTCCACGTCATGGCTGCTCCGAATACCTTTTCTCTGTGCTGAAGAGCAAGTGGTACTTTGAATTTTAGTGAAAATTAGATGGAGCTGTCCAGAATGAGTGGGGGCTGCCTCTGTTGGTCATGGGTCTCCATGTCTTGATTTCTATGATGAAAAACTGCTCCGTGGGGCTGGAAAATGCTATTCCCTGCAGTTTGCAAATTGTTTAAGCTATTTTTAAGTTTTATTAATAGCTATAGTTTTAAGTAGCACTTGGGAAGGTTTTTTCTCCCAGTTACATTCTAGGTGAGCCAAAGGCTGAAAGATTGTATATACAATCTTTTGATATTTTGGAAATTGTGCTAAGAAAGACTGTAGTCAGTTTTATAAAAAATCCATTATTTCATGTTGTTTAATACATTTGTCTTTAAAGTTCCTATTGATCTGCTTATGATAGGATCATGATGCAGTTATCCAATCCGATATTCCACATGGTCAGTCTATAAATAACGCAGCCATGTTTTCCCATTTTTGAAAACTTCTATATCCATTCTTTTACTTTCTTTAAAACACCATTATCTTTCTCTACATAAGCATAGTAATTGATAAGTAATTGGTGATTTTTAACAAATTTGAGCCACTTTTTTCAAAGCCATTTTCCATCAGTTTACAGTTTATGGAATCTGGAGGATTAAGAGTGGGTTGGGGGTTAGGACTCCAGGTATCCTTTCCCAGGGCAGCTCCAGGGTCAGTGATGTGGTGTCTGCCCCAGGCCCCTGGCTGTGTATGTGGGAGCACTGAAGCGCCCTGACCATCTCGCCCCACCCTTCTCCCTGTAACTAACTCTGAATGCCGCAGGCTCCTCTTGGTCCACCCCAGGGTCCTGGGTGAATTAAATGTAAATGAAGGATTCCGAAGACCTTGTCATTGTCTCTTCTCCCTCCTCTGAAGCATGCCTTTGTCTAGCTAATCAGATTGCCTGTTTTCAGGCGAGTCGCATAATAATAGTGGATCGCTTTTGCTTCTGTTTTTTCTTTTTTTTTTTTTTAATTGTGGTAACATTATATCTCACAATTTAGAAAACATCAGTAAGAGTTTCAGTTTTGCATGATTTGCTGAATTTCATTTGGGAAATATGCACTTCAAGACAAGTGTGTTATATGACTTTTTTTGGTCTATACTGTCTCAAGTTAATGTTCACAGTGTGTACACATTTTTTTTTTTTTACAAATAAAACAGCTATTTTAAGTATAGAGCAAAAATAATACACATTTTTGGAAAAATGGTAGTTCATTTTTTAATTAGGAATTCTTATAATGATCTTAAATGGAACATTTAATTAGGTTTCCTAGTCCAGTTAACAGTCAGCTGAATGTTGATTTTAACCCTAAGAGGCAACCCAGAGTTTATTTAGGCAAAGTCTCTTGTGGATGAGCAAATGGAAACAAACCTGAAGGTGCTAAGTGATCTGCCCAAGGTTATAGCAATGATTCCAGACAGGAGAACCCAGACCCAGGGAGGAGTGTGGCACTGGCGGCTTCAGGCTGTGCTCTGCGCTAACAGTTTGTTAATATCTTACTTAAATAGTGGCTCTCATAAACTAATAAAATTCCCATCATCCTATTAAACTACTAAGCACAGTTAAGGTTCATTGCAGGTACTCAGTAAATGTTAATTTCTCCATTTAATTTTTTTAGGTTATGTATTATTGTTATCATTTTAATGACATTCCAAATATGTAAAATCCTTTGGGGATAGGGGAAGGAAAATAATGAGAACGAGCATTCATAAGTTCTTTCGGCCTTGCCCACACATGATTTAAATCTCAGCATCACCTTAGAGGGTAGGATTTTCTGGACAGGCACGGCCCACAGAGGGCAGAGCTGGGCGTCCACCCACATCCCGTCTCCTCCATATGTGTGCAATGACATGCTTTTACTCTAACTCATTTCATCTCTAGGTTTTACAGGCATTATATTGTCTATTTTTAATCTTCTTGAAACTTGAGAAAAACATTATTTAACCAGCCGTGCTGTGTGCACTCACCCGTCTTTTGGCTCATACCTTCTAATCTTTCACTTTTCCTCATTGTGCACACAGGTAAGCAACTTGCTTTGTTATTATTATTTTTTTTAACTTGCTGGAGGGTACATGTGCTCATGGGAGAAAGACTGAGCATGGAGGGATGGAGGGGGCATAAGCAGCCCCAGTGGGGATGGCCACCCCACCATCCCTTCTCCATTCTCCTCTCAGGATTTTGGGCACACGTGCACACGTGCCCAGCATGTGTTTAAGCCACCAGGCTGAGGCTCAAACCACAGTTTGCCAAGTGTAATCGGTACCTTAACCTCTACACTGCCAGCTGGTCCTCACCTTGCATTTTTTTGTAGCTGTTTTATATATCTCAAAGGAAATACTCCTTAATTCTACTGCCTATCCAGACAGTGGCACTTTCTGATATTCTTAATGTTATTTATGAAGATACTCAAGTGCTGACCCAGTTTATAAAGGATGGGGATTAACTGGATGTGCATGTCATCTCATCACCCCTGCTCCTTATTTAAGGGAAGGGCTTCTTATAGTACGCAGTTCCGTAAACGTGGCATTTTCATTAGTTGTTTACTTGGCAGTTACAATATTTGAGTCTAACTTATTTAAAATATTTTCTTGCTAGATTTATAAAGTTTTTATTAATTTTGACTGTAAATATTTAGCTCTTTCATTGTATTCCAATTTTTCCCTTTTATCTTTTTTTCTAAATCTTTATTTACTTTGTCTTTTTTTTTTTTTTTTTTTTTTTTTTTTAGGTTTTTGCCATAGGGTGCTCATGCTCTTCAGAACAAAACACAGACAGGGAGAGAGAAAGTGAAAAATCACTCCTGTGGATGACCACACTGCAATCCCTTCTCTTTCACTCTCTTGGGATTTTTGGGCACACATGCAAGTGTGCCTGGCATCATTTTTAAGCTACTGGGTCTAGGACTCCAACCACGGTCAGCCATGTGTGAGTTCAGGCCCTTAACCACCAGGCCACCTGCTGGCCCTATTTCTTTCTTTATTTTCTTGACATCTTTTATTTTCTTCTTTCTCTCTTTTTAAAGAAAAATTTCCTCACTAGAGCTTGTCATTTTTTGTTAGGTCTGTGTCATTTCCTTTAGTTACTAGATAAAAATGCAAAGCTAATTTTATTTAGAAAGTTAATTTTTTCTATGAATTATGCGTATGGCTACCTTAAATTTTTCCAACTTGCTTAACATTTTGGAACACTCTTTAAACAGTATTTCTTAGATCTGTAATGCCATAAATACTTCCTGGTAAGCTAACTTACACGTAGCGTCAGTAGCTGAGTGCTTCCAGTTTTCCTGTCTTTAGTCTTTGTCTTCATGACTAATGAAGTTACTCATTTTATTAGATTTGAACTTTGGATTTTTTGCTTTATTTTCTTGACATCTTTTATTTTCTTCTTTCTCTCTTTTTAAAGAAAAATTTCCTCACTAGAGCTTGTCATTTTTTGTTAGGTCTGTGTCATTTCCTTTAGTTACTAGATAAAAATGCAAAGCTAATTTTATTTAGAAAGTTAATTTTTTCTATGAATTATGCGTATGGCTACCTTAAATTTTTCCAACTTGCTTAACATTTTGGAACACTCTTTAAACAGTATTTCTTAGATCTGTAATGCCATAAATACTTCCTGGTAAGCTAACTTACACGTAGCGTCAGTAGCTGAGTGCTTCCAGTTTTCCTGTCTTTAGTCTTTGTCTTCATGACTAATGAAGTTACTCATTTTATTAGATTTGAACTTTGGATTTTTTGCTCACCCCTATTTTTAGTAGCATGAAAAGGATGTAAAAAATAATGAACAAGCAAGAGCAAAAGGAAGTTTTCAAAAGGGACAGTGAGAGTGTCCTGACATGTACTCAAACAGGCTGAGAGCTAGATCAGCTCACGCTGCAGAGCACAGACCAGAAGATGGCTGCCCGTCCTTGGTGGACCCTCGATCCCCATGGGCTGCACATGTCACTGGAATAAACAGTGTGGACGCGTAAGAAGGGCACATAAGTGTGGAAAATCCTTAAATGACTTTGAAAGGTATAAAAATGTTGAGGATTGATAACATTAGACAGATGTGCTATCATAATTGCATACTAGTTCGAGTCAGTGGAGATAGTAATCAAAAGACACAAAGAAAACAAAAGGAAGTATTACTTTTAATTAGGTAAGTCAGAAATGTTGCAGTAAGAACGGAAGCAGCACTGGTTGAAAATTAAGTAGGCTTTTCTACTTTTTAAAATATAAATCAACATACATATCATGCTCGAGAATAATAAAATAGAAGAGAAGCCTTTAGGCCCGTCTAGAAGAGTATCTTTTGAGCCATAATACATTTAAAAGTCAACCTTCTAGAGAAAGCACACTCACAGCACACTCACAGTGAAAACACAGCCAACGTCGTCTCATTGTGTTCCAGTGACCAGGAGTGTCCACCCCTCAGTGCTGGCCTGTGATGCCCCCAGTGTCTACCCCTACCAGCACTGGAGGCTGGTGTGAATGGAGGCCTGGCCTGGCTCCTGCATGTGGGAAGGACTGGGCACCCTGGCCTCAACTGCATGCCGTGCTTCCCATGGGCACCTGGCCCTTCACCCCGGTCATGACTAGCAGTAGGATTTCTGTTTAATAGCATGCCTACTGAGTTCTGTGCTCCACGACGAAGAAGGTGCTGAGGTGTTTTCCTTTGTCTAAAAATAACAGAGGTGTTGAGTTTCTATCCCATAACTTACTTGGATGAAATAACCCATCAATGTTTTTAATGTCATGGAAGCAGCATGTAGGTGTGGCGACTGGTACAGCCACTGGTTAAGCTGTGACCAGATGCGTAATGCACCTGCATGCTGCTTTCTGCTTCCTGTTTTAGTTTAAAGATCTTACAAATGAATGAAAATTGGGTAAGACATTACTGTAATTTGTGTAGGAGCAAACACAGTGTACCTTTCTGTATGTAAAGACAGCAATATGATTGCTTGGCTTCATTTTTGCTCCTTGACAAACTGAGTTCCTGAAAGACTTTAACGAGTGTTTTTACTAGAAAAGCGACAAGCATTCAAACTAAGCTGATCGGTATCTGTTAAGGTGCTCTGAGAGGCAGCAGCTTCAAAGGTAATGACAAACCTTCTATACTTTGACAACCTGCTTGCTTTGGAGTCTAGTTCCCTTTTCTCAACATGACCTTGGCAGAAAAGGAGCAAAAATAGTAGAGACTTCTAAATTACTAACTATGATTTTCCACATTCAGTTTACTCTGATGTGGAGATAACCGTGATGTGCATATACCTGTCCACATCAGGACAGAGGGGAAGTCTCCTCGCCTACCCTACCCTTGTTTTAATTAGAATGGGATGGCAGAGAGATTCCAACAGACACAAAAGAAGCGCATTGTACTCAGCAAATTGGTGATAGGACATAGTCGTTTAAAAACCTACCTGCTGGCTAAGGAGATACTGCGGCAGGGTGGACTGTGGACTTGAGCTTGAATTTTCATGAGCCAGAGAATCATATGAAAGTGACCTACAAGATGCAGCTTTGAAAAGTCAAGCTGAATTAACTTAGAAAGCTGCAGTCTAGTTTTCCTTCTGCTCTATTACTTCAGCATATGGCTTTTCAGAACACGTGTGCAAGGAAGCGGGGGTCTCTGTGTTTGCAGACAACTCAGTTTCTGAGTGTAATTTCCTTAAACTTCAAAATTAATTGGACATATGTTTGAGTCACAGTTTATATTTAATATATCCATTATTGAAAAAAGTTAGCACAATTTCTCTTTGGTGACAGAGGAAAATAATACAAAATGAAGACCTCAGTGACCAAACAGCAACAAAGGCATTGCTATAAAGTAAAATGACTCTTGGAAAGAAATGTCTCACTACCATGCTCTTAAATAAGAAAGGAGATAGTTTGGGAATAAAGCGTGATGCAAAAAATTGACAAACAAACCTTGTGTATCTGCCTCTGGTATTTTGTAACGTATCTGACCTTCTCTTCTAACTTTTAGTTTCCTGGTCAGTTTCATGGTGGACGCCCGAGGTGGTGCCATGCGAGGGTGCCGGCACAATGGTCTCCGGATCATCATTCCGCCCCGGAAGTGCACCGCCCCGACACGCGTCACCTGCCGCCTGGTCAAGCGCCATAGACTGGCGACCATGCCGCCGATGGTGGAAGGAGAAGGCCTAGCCAGTCGCCTGATTGAAGTCGGACCTTCTGGTGCTCAGTTCCTTGGGTAAGGGTTTCCGATAAACCTCCCACTTAGTCTCCAATGAGCTTGTGTCCTGTACGTGAAATCTCTAGACGGAATGGAAAAAGGTACGTAAAACCATTTTGAAAAAAAGATTGGCTCCTATGAAATTTTTAAGAATTGAAAGACACACCTCAAGGCTTGGCTCCACTTGCATGCCTCTGTTTAAGGTGCTAGTGAGGTGATTGTTATTCTTAGCTTTAGGGGGGGTCGGAGCAGCAAGACCCCAGTGTGAGTCGTGAGTTTCAGCCAGTGTTAGATGTTTGTCTCTCAGCTGAGACGTCACTGGATAAAGTCATAAAGAAAACACAGCTCTATTCCACACACACATTTCAAGTCTGTGTAGTTAGAAACAGGCATGTCTTCACTTGGGAAAGCAGTTTCCCTTTATAGAGTATCTAAAACTTGAGTCTATGTGATTTGTTTTTCCTGTTGTCAAAATTGCTACCTTGAGCCTTAAAATGAGAGAGGAAGTTTAGTCACAGTGTGCATTAGAGGAAAAAAATCTAGACCAGCTACCCCCATGCTCATTTTAGCAATTTTGAACAGAAATTAGCATTTATTCTTTCTGTTTGTTTGTTGGGCTGCTGATCTATATAAGTGGCCTCTCAGCGTGCCAACAAATGAGTAACTACTGTTGACAGCTGACAAAAGGGTGAAGTTTTGGAGGGGACAAGTTTCAAAACATTTTGAAACAAATCAATTGTATTTAAGTCTCGCCATAGCAAGTCTTGGTGTGTGAGAAACTGGGATAAATCCCCACTGCGTGTCAGATCGAGGAGGCAATTTCTTGCTTAGAACTCAGGCAGTGTTCTGAAGCCTTATAATTTGGAGCAAACTCTTAACAAGTTGCTCCAAATTATGTTCACAACTGACAACGGGAGTGTGGTATTTCCTGGTGAGAGAAACCCCCTCTTCTGTCCTCCTGTCAGACCAAGGCTTCAGAAGGAGCCTGCGAAGTTCTGGGTCGCATTATAAAATGCTGTTATGGTTGGAGTCACTCCCTGGTGATTACTTTCATATTCTGAACCAGACTTTCACCCTTCATGCTCAGGTAGTTTTAGGCTTTCTAATAATCTTCAAGTCTGTCCAACCAACCCACGAGACCAGTCGGCCTCTGAACAGAGCAGTTTCTGTTAGGTCCCCAGCTCTGCCTCCTGGCGAAGTGCACGTCTTCCCTATGGCTATGCCCTGGCCGTGCGCAGGCAGGGAGAGGTCCGATGGCCGGTGCTCCCTGGCACAGACGCGCCTCCATTGTCCACTCTGGGTCCTGGTTCTTACTCTTTGTGACCAATGGAGGGGCAGAACCAAGCTCGGAGTGACCCGCTCACCCGTGGCCACCGCGACGCTGGGGTTCTGTGGGCAACGTCTGAAGCTCACTTGTGTTCTCTCTCCCTCTGCTGCTCCGGACCTCAGTAAGCTCCACCTGCCAGCGGCTCCTCCCCCACTTAATGAGGGAGAGAGTTTGGTCAGCCGCATCCTTCAGCTGGGGCCTCCTGGAACCAAATTCCTTGGGTAGGAGCGACTTAAAGCAAATTGATGGCTGCTGGCCCCCATTCTTCTCCTCCTCTGCGATATGATTTCTCTCTCTCTGTCATTGTGCCATGACATGCCCCTCTATGATTTCAATTCCGTATAACCTGTCTTTAGTGGACCATTTCTGACCCTGTGATATGTGACTTTTGTTTTTGAGTGATGTTTTATACCTTTCCCCTTAAAGTGCTGTGACCTTCATTTTCGTTTAAGCATGAACTCTGCCTAGTGTACTCTGTGCTAGTTATGATGTTATGATGGATTGGAGTCTGTATCAAAGCAACCTGGACTCAAACGCTGAGCACCTCCATCTATTCGGAGGTCGAATGTGACCTAAAACAGCAGGACAGTGCATGTCTGGACCCTGAATGTGACAGGCATTGCACACACGTGGGCTGCCAGAGGGGGCTTGGCCAGGGCCACTGTGTGCATATGCCTGTGTCCTTGAATGGAGGGAGAGTGAGCGGGACTGTGAGTGCATGGCTCTTTAGTCCACACGCAGCCAGCTGTTCGACGTCTCGTCGTCCACAGCACATCAGATCACGCAGCACACGAGCCATTTCCCTTTTAAGCCATTTTGTCATTTCGCACCTTGTATTAAATGTCTCAGGAGACTGGCACATGTCAAAGACATGCATGTACATTTCTTTTGGTTACACATGCTATACTTACATTTATCAAAGGAGAAGTTCCAGAATGCCACACGCACTCAAAGGGACGTGTCATTGGCTTCAGGTAGCAGCGTGTACCTGTGGGGTGTGCCCGAGGTGGAATGCCTTGGTGCAACCATTGAGTCAGGGCTCCTGAGGGTGGCCGCTATGCCCCTATCCCCAGAAAGAGGAGAATTCCAGGTCACTTTGCAACAGACAGGGCTGAGGTGCTGGTCTTGCTGCGGGCAGCCCGTCCACACTGAGCGCCCTGCCTCTGCAGGCCTGTGATTGTGGAGATCCCTCACTTCGCGGCCCTCCGTGGGAAGGAGCGGGAGCTGGTGGTCCTGCGCAGCGAGAATGGGGACAGCTGGAGAGAGCACTGCTGCGAGCACACCGAGGGCGAGCTCAACGAGGTCCTCAACGGCTTGGACGAAGGTACCTCGGCCCGAGGGTCTAAGGAACCCTGCAGCGGAAGTGATGCTGGCTTCTTACAGCCTGGGTGGGGTGTGTGTGTGTGTGTGTGCGTGCGCGCGCTTGTGTGCATGTCCCGCTGTTATTTTACCTCAGCAGCTAGTCTGCTACACTCCAGTGGTGATGTGTTGGAATGTACGATACGAGAGGACTTCAGAAAGTGTGTGGCACGACAGAATTATAACATGAGTTTATCTTGTGAGAAAAGTTTTCGAAATCCATGTGTAGTTTTTTTCATGGTATGCATTTTCTATGAATTTTCAAAGATCTCTTCTACATTTACTTAATCTTATATTTGTGTCACTTAGAAAAATCAAACCCTTTAACATAGCAAACAGGGCCAGCAGGTGGCAGGGAGGTTAAGGTGGCTGGATCCCACACAGCCAACTGCCCTAGACCTGGAAGCTTGGAAAACATGTCAGGCACATGTGTACCCAACATTCCAAGAGGAAAATGGAGGAGAAGGGACTGTGGCATGGCCATCTGCCCTTGGAGGGTGATTTCTCACTTTCCCTTCTCTCTCTCGTTCTCCCCTCAGCATATGTTCTATGTAGCAAACAAACAAAAAGAGCAAACATCTCATATTGATAAGGAGATATAGAACACATCCATTTTTAGTGTAAACTTTTTTGAAAGAAATGTGAATATAGATACTATTTTCTTGACAAAATGAACTGATAATGGATAATAAAACCATGATTTTTTATAATGTCTGACTTGAAAAATTAGATATTAAAGATACTGATAAAAAAAGTACTAAGCTATTCTATTGGGAAAAGTACATCTACACATTACTGGTACACTATATAATAATATAATTTCTTTGTTTAACCTTCTAATAATTATATAAGAATGTTAAGTTCATTTTATCTTTACCTATAATTCAAACACAGAATTAGTCAGGGTTGAATTGCACATATAGCATCTTGTTGAGGAACCTAATTTTTCAGTAGAACTTTAATCTCTGTAAATCCCAAGTCTGTTTTAGGTCATTAAAATGCAGGCTAACCTGTCTCGTTTGGGACTGACTCCACAGTGCAGCGGTCAAATGCTTGGCACTGAGAGCCAGATCCCACATGCTGATGCAGTTCAAATCCTGGTTGGTGGCTTGAAAACCACAGCCAGCCCTGGTGCCTCTCTGGTGAGTGCATGTGCCTTCTGACAATTAAAACTGAGGTACAAAAGACCACAGCTTACTGGAGGGAAGTGGCTCATTGTCAAGGCTCCTCAGGCTGCAAGAGAAATGATGGTCCGAGGACCAGCAGACACCTCACAATGCAAGTCTTCAAGCGCACAAGCCGGCTGGCGCTTGGCCTCGGTGCCAGGAATACACCACGCCTGTCCAGGGCTGGACGCTTACAGGCTCAGCAGCATAGCTGCTTATCCAGCGTGATTCTCCAGGGCAGTAAAGAGTACGCATCATTGCTCCCTCCGTGTTCCTGCGCCCTGCTGAGGCTTGAATAAAAGTACAGGTTAGGGTTACTTTAGCCACAGTGTGGGTGGAGGAAGGACTTGGAGGTCCATGTTTTCTGAGCAAAGCAAAAAGGTCAGGGTTGTTACTGATAAAGTTTGCTCCCTGCAGTGTTTGGCTGCTTCTCTGTGGCCAGCATTTGGGTTGGGGTATCTTCCTTTGAGATGTCCCTGCTGCTAACATTGCTGTGGGCATTAGCATGTTGTCCTTGCTGGGCACCTGCTCCTGTGACTCTCTGCATATATAAAGTTAATTTTAAAACAAAAAATTAGATTTGCGTGTGTTTGTATGTTTGAGAATATTCTTTGTAAATATACACTGTGTTTTGCATGTATCAATCTTCAATTATACATGATCAGATCCTGAGACTTCTGTATTTTACTATATAGTTATGCCCACTAGTGAAAAAATATGTAAAAACAATGACAAAGAAAACACATTTGTCATTTCTGCCTTTATAATGAACTATAAGTATTTTCCAAAAATGAGCAGTCTTTCACAATTCCTTAAAATTTAGTGGTCCACTTAGTTTAAATTGTCTACATTTAAAAAAAAGTGTGATTTTTTTTTTTTTGTACTGCTCCAAATATCTACACTAGCGCAATTTGACCCCACCCTCCTGATGTTAGAGGATATGCTGGGCAAGTTCATGGGACCAGAGGAGTAGCCAAGACTCTGCACTCACAGTCCCTGTGAATTTTGTTTAACCCACATTCATTGATTTTGAGACAACCATCACAATAGCCTGAACACACATGCATTGACCTAACCCTTTCAAGGTAGATTTTATTCTTGGACTATTTGGCTGAAAACCCAAAGGACCCTGTTACTCCTCAAAATCACAGTACTTTGAACTAACTTTGAAGTTTGCAAAGAGAACTTCCCTGGCACCATGTGAACCAAGAATAAACCAGGCTAGTTTTCATTCCAGCTTTGCCCTCACGCCATCCTCCTCACCAAGGCAGCCCTGCAGAACCGTATCTGGAATGAGGTGCTTTTCTTTCACAGTGCCCTGGAGAGTCTTTGTTTCACAGAAGCAGAAAATGTGCAGGCTAAATGCTGACCTCCTTGAGAGCTTGCAGATTTCTTTCTGACATTCTTCAGATAGCCTTGCTCTTAAACTTCCTCCTTCTCCTGATGCCACCTTTGTTCACTATTAACCACGCCAGTGAGTTTGCTAGAATGCTTTCAGAAGGAAGTCCTTCCTGTCTGAAGACCGCTCGTTTCTTGTCTCAGTGCTGGACAGCCCGGAAGACCTAGAGAAGAAGCGAATCTGCCGCATCGTCACCCGGGACTTCCCACAGTACTTTGCCGTGGTGTCTCGCGTCAAACAGGACAGCAACCTGATCGGCCCTGAGGGGGGCGTACTGAGCAGCACCGTGGTGCCCCAGGTGCAGGCTGTCTTCCCGGAGGGCGCGCTCACCAAGCGGATCCGTGTAGGCCTCCAGGTATGCAAGGTACAAAGGCTCCTCACATAAGGCCTTACTCCCTCTCTCTCTCTCTCTCTCAAGGAATATTAACTTTTCAAATGAAAAACAAATTGTTAAAGGATCAGAGTATTCCTGGGTGAGCCAGAGCTGCCCTGGGAGACCACAGACCTTACAATGTCTTTACGAGTGCTTGGTAACAGCACTAAGCTCTGCTCTCTGCACTTGAAGCCCTCAGACTTACTTGTGGGGTGGTAAGCAATGCCTGGGTAGGAAGTTAGACACTATGTAAATGGTATTCATTAATATTTTTCTTTATTGTGAAAAGGCTCAACCTATGCACAGTGAGCTGGTTAAGAAGATCCTAGGCAACAAAGCCACCTTCAGCCCCATAGTCACTTTGGAACCTAGAAGAAGAAAATTCCACAAGCCCATCACCATGACCATTCCTGTCCCTAAAGCTTCAAGTGACGTTATGTTGAATGGTTTTGGGGGAGATGCACCAACCTTACGACTACTATGCAGCATAACAGGTAGGTCACTCACAACTAGGTTACAGAGTTCTGAAAAAGAAGCTAGGTAGTCGTAAATACGGAATTACCTTTGTCAGAAGATGCCTACAGGGCCAGCAGGTGGTGTGGTTGATTAAAGCACTAGATCCCATGTGGCTGACTTTGCTGTGCAAGTCCAGGACCCAGCAACTTGAAATAGTCACTGGTTGTTTGTGCGAGCATACCCGAAATCCTGAGAGGAGAATGGGGGAGAAGGGACTGCAGTGTGGCCGTCCCCCCTGGGGTGACTTCTCACTTTCCCTCTCTGGAGAGTACACACATCCTATGGCAAAAATCTTTAAAAAAAGAAAGAAAGAAGATACCTATAGAGGTATGTGTGCTCATTTGGCAAAAGAATTGTAATTCACTTGAGAAGTAAAAGTTGAAATAAACTAGTATTAGGTAGATAAATTCTGTATGCCAAATTGTCAGATACTTTATATGCATTGTCATTTTAATTTTCAGAAGCAGTCTTATAGGAAAGCTTTAAACCTGTTTTTCTGAAAAGGAAAGCGAGGGCGGAAGAGGTTTTGTAATTCCCTTGAGTTACACCATTAATATTGGCTCATCAGAAAAGTCATGATGTATTTTTTTTGTGTTTCTATGCAAAAATGATTGACTTTTTCCAACCCAGTATTTGGTGGAGTTGGGATTCAAGCCCTAGTCTGTATGGCACCGCATCTCAGGCCCTGACTAGCCTGTGTTCTGAATATAACTTTACATCTGCTGGAGAAAAGAGAGTATCATATATCATGTATTGTTTTTGCTAATTCAGTCCTAAATTGAGAAGAAATTTTATTTTTTGAAAATGTGAAGTTTAGGAATAAACAAATATTAAGTTGTTCTTTGTTTTAGAAACATTCAGCTCCTTAACTGGTCAAGGCTCTTTTTAAATAATCAACTCTATTGGGTCAGCAGGAGACATAGTGGTTAAGATGCTGGATCTGTCATGGCTGACTGTGCAGTTCAAATCCCTGACCCAGTGGCTTGAAAAACACCCTGAGTGCGTATGTCAAAATCTCAGGAAGAGAATGGAGGAGAAGGGACTGCAGTATGGCTGTCCTCCCTGGGAGGTGATTTTTCACTTTGCCTCTCTCTGGCCAGCACACACACCCTATGGCAAAAAGCTTAGAAAAAAAATGTATGTATATATATGTATGTATATGTATGTATATATATATATATATATATATATATGTATATATATACACACACACACACACACACACACACACACACACACACAACCACACATACACATATATATGTGTATATAAACTATGTGCAATTCTGAATTATTTTCAGAACCTAGCAATTATGGTGAAAATGTCAGAGTATCAGGCAGTGATTAGAACACCTAGTAAACAGTTATTCAAATAACTTTACTTTAATTTAGCTTTTGAGAGGTGTTGTCAACTGTTTGTTTTCAGAGCTTTTTTTTTTTTTTACTTTCAAGCTGTCTTTTTTTTTTCTTTTTTTAGAGAGGTTTTTGCTATGGGGCGCGTGCACTCACCAGAGAGACAGAGACAGACAGAGAGACAGAAAGCAAGAAGTCACCCCCCCAGGGGGGATGGCCACGCCACAATCCCTTCTCCTCCATTCTCCTCTTGGGATCTTGGGCACACATGCACACACACCCAGTGTGAGTTTAAGCCACCGGGTCCGGGACTCGAACCGTGGTCAACTACGTGGGAGTCCAGCGACATAGCCATTACGCTAACTGTTGGCCCCTCAAGCTGTCATTTTAAGGGGTAGGAGGGATCACACACAGCCCAAACCAGAATGACTTTCTTTTACTCTCCAGAGTCTGTAGTTTTGCATAATGCTTTCAATAACCATGTTATTCAGGTGGCACCACCCCCGCCCAGTGGGAGGACATCACCGGAACCACACCACTGACGTTTGTCAACGAGTGCGTCTCCTTCACGACCAACGTGTCTGCCAGGTACTGTCAGAGTACGGGAAGCCACTTTGGTCCCACACCTGTACCAGTCCCCGGATCCTTTGCTTTATTTTGTTCCTTAATTCTTTAAAAGTGATTTTTTGTTGCTGTTTGGTTTTAAATATAGTCTGTATTTTTAACTAACTGAGCCTACCAGCAAGTATAGTGACAATACAATACACAGTACTACCCGCTGGATTAAACCTGAGAAGTGGGAGTCCTGGCTGTCTATGAGAGCTGAATGATCCCGACTTGGGCTCTAGCAGCCACTTCTGACTTTTTCCCACCCCAGCAGTCATAGGGATGATCCATTTCCTGTTGTCAGCAGAATAGCTTGCCTGCTCTTCCAGCAGGATGTAACACACAGCCCATCACGGCTGCCTAAACGTAGGTCTCCGCAGCTCTTTTGCACCCTGACACATTTCATATCACCCGTGTGTGTGTTGCACATGTTTAAAAGCTGACACTAAATGCCCATGAACAGGTTAATGGATTGTAAAACTGTGGCACATATACTCTATGGAATACTATTCAGCCATAATATGAAACCCTGGCTTTTGACAGAAAGTGGAAGAATATGGAAGATGTACTGCTGAGTGAGGCAAGCCAGGCTATGAAGGAGAGGCATTGTATGTCCCCACTTAATATATACCAAGTATCCACACTCTATGATTGAAACTAATTGACTAAAGGTTATAGAACCACAGTAAGTGGATGTAAATACCAGATACAGTGTGTGTGAAAGAGGAGGGTCTGAGGAAGGACATTTAGAAGAAAAATAGGGAGGCAAAGCATTAATGGGACAAAGAAATGTGGTATTATCTGTTGAAGATATTTTATAGTTTTATCAACTGGACTAGGGAGAAATGTTCACAAATTAAAATATTCAGTTTGTAAGCTAAATAGTGTGATTGAATGTATAAAAGAAAATGTAATAAAAAATTTAAAAAAACTAAAAAGAGCTGATACTATCTAGTGCTATGTCTTATGTGCATTTAACTCCATTTATTAATATTAATTAATATTTTTATGGTCTGTGATTGCTAAGTATTTTCATATTTCTTTGGCATGACAATTTTATGACTTAAGTAGGGCAAGAGACAGGTCTATTCTACAGATGAGGAAACTAAAGCTGAAAATGGTCAAGACTTCAAGTCCCACGTGGGGAAAATGCAAATGCATGGGTAGGGAGGTAACAGGTGCAGCAGGGCGGGTACTCAGAAGCTCAGCTGCTGGCCTGCAGTGCAGTGCTCAGTGTGTCCTGTCAGCCATGCACATGCTAACACAGAACATTGCACATGCTGAAGGAGGACTGACAGAGGTCGTGTTCACACTGGGCTAGTTAAAGAGGGTGTAGGAAAAGATGTGACTCAAGATCTGTGTTGGAACTTAAGTAAAAGTGGAAGAGAATAACACAAAGGTGTGAAGACAGGTTTTAGGAGATTATTGGGTGAAAGCAGCCATGATCCATAGTCTAATTCAGAAAGACACTGGGACATCGATGGAAATATGGCTTATAAAAGACCTCATAGGGTAGATAAAGAAGTGAGGCATCACTATAAATATAGGGTTTTTATTTGTCAATGAGAAAATACAAAAAAGCATAAAATTAAATAAAGCTGCAGTTAAAAAAATTTAGCTACTTCATAGGAGGATGTGAAAAATAATTAAATAATATCAAAGGAATTAAAATATCATCCCCAAAGAAGGAGTTATTATATTCTTATACTAATAATTTAACCCCCAGACAATCAAAGAAATAGTGAATAAAATATAGTTGAATCAGTAGAAAGAGGAAAATAATATTGAGTGCCTACGTGACTCTGTGATTACGCTGAACCTTAAAAGTATTGTGCTAATTGAAGTCAGCTAACTCGGAAGACACATGCTGTGTGGTTATACTTCCACAAGGGACCTAGAATAGGCACTCATGGGCACAGGAGGTGAGGTGGAGGCTGCCAGGGAAGGCAGTGAGGGTGAAGGACAGCTGTTTCCTGGGTACGGTTTCTGTTAAGGATCTTGAAAAAGCTCTGGGGACCAGCAGTGTAATGGCTATGTCACTGGACTCTCATGTAGTCAACCGTGGTTCGAGTCCTGGACCCAGTGACTTAAACTCCACGCCAGGCGTGTGTGTGTGTGCGCCCAAGATCCTGAGAGGAGAATGGAGTAGAAGGGATTGTGGCGTGGCCATACCCCCAGGGGGGTGATTTCTTGCTTTCTGTCTCTCTGTCTCTCTCTGTCTTTCTGGTGAGTGCATGCACCCTGTAGCAAAAACCTCTCCCCTCCCCCCAAAAAGCTCTGGAAATGAATAATGATTGCACAGCATGGTACTTAGTACTGCTGAATTGTACACTTAAAAATGGTTAAAATGCAGGGCCAACAGGTGGCATGGGGGTTAAGGCAGTGGATTCTAACGTGGCTAACCACGGTTCGAGTCCCAGCCTCAGCAGCTTGAGAATCATACCAGGTGTGTGTGCATGCGTGCCTCAAATCCTAAGAGGACAGTGGAGAAGGGATTTTTGATGTGGACTTTCCTCTGGGAGGTGATTTTTCACTTTCCTTCTCTTTGTCCCTCTCTTGCAAGCACACATACCCTATTGTAAAAGAAAAAAAAAGTTAAAATGCTATATTTTACGTTATGTATATATTACCATCATAAAAAAGGGAGGGGTGAGCAGGTGGCATGGTTAAGGCAGTGGATTCCCACAGGAGACCACAGTTCAAGTCCTAGACCTGGTGACTTGAAAACCATGCTGGGTACATGTGCATGTGCCCAAAATTCCAAGAGGAGACTGGAGGAGAAGGCATTGCGGCATGGCCATCCCCTTTGGAGGGTGATTTCTCACTCTCCTCTCTCTGTCTCTCTCCAGCAAGCACACACACCGTGTGGCAGAAACCTTAAATAAAAAATAAAAATTAATAAAAAGGAAGAGAGAGAGCTCAAGGACTTGAAATAAAGGGAGGCCAAGAGGATAAAGAAATGTCCAGTGTTTGAAGTTGATGGAAATGAGTCCAGAAAAGGAGAGCAATCACTGGAGAAAGGTTTTTAAACAAGGGGGATGTGGAACAAGCCTTTGGGAGTATATAGATAGCCAGTTAGAAAAAGGTCTAACTGATGACCTCTGTTTTCTCCATGAACTTACCCTTCTTAGGGCCCATAGTCAGGGGATGCTCACAGAGCATCATCAGAGTTTCACAAGTGACTGTGTTGGATGAAATGGTATCTAAGCCGGAAGTCAGACTCAGCCCGAGTGGCAGCTGTACTGCATGGAGCCAGTTGTTTCTTCTGTTGACCGACTGGCAATACGCAGGGCTCTGGAACAGATTGTTTTAAATTGTTGGGTTGATTCAACCTTGGTGACTGAAGAGTTTCTTGGAAAAGAATAGTGAGATGAAGAAGAATTGGGCACATTTTGTTGAAAAGAATTTCTGGAAATGTAATGAATGGGAAAGGTGAAGGAAAAGAAATCCTTGTCACAATATCTGCTCTGTGCTTATGCCACTAAAGGTTTTGAGAACACAGAAGATGTATTTGAGAAGAGTAAATACACAAAAGAGTTTCCAAAGAAGGAAGTACAAGTTCAGTTTAGTGGTTGATCTTAGAAGCCTGGCTTTTCTCTCTTCCCAGCACTCTGCCTTCCCATGTTCCCACCTCTGCTGCCTTTCCTTTGGCTTTATTCATGATCTCCCTCTTCTTCTCTTCCAAGAAGCATTTCATGACTTCAGTGATCAGATTGAAGGAAATAATGATTGCAAGTGATATATTTTAAACTTTATATAACTTTATTTCTTTTCGTAGGTTCTGGCTGATAGACTGTCGGCAGATCCAGGAATCTGTTACCTTTGCCTCACAAGTGTATAGAGAAATCATCTGTGTGCCATACATGGCCAAATTCGTAGTGTTTGCCAAGTCGCACGACCCCATTGAGGCTAGGCTGAGATGTTTCTGCATGACTGACGATAAAGTAGATAAGACCCTTGAACAGCAAGAAAATTTTGCTGAGGTGGCCAGAAGCAGAGACGTGGAGGTACGTGTCCTACACGGTGTGTTGTGTTGTGGTGCCTTTGTGAACAGGTGACACTTCAGTAGGGTAAGAGAGCTGCCCAACGTCTCCATGTTGATCAGTTGGAAGGTGGGTCCGGCCTCAGCCGTTTTCAGCTTGTGGGGGAGAGTGGATTATCTCCGCGTGTGGGAGGAGGTAAAAGGATTCCTTTAAAGATTATTTAGGGGGGGAACCAGCAGTTTGCGTAATGACTATGTCGCTGGACTCCCACGTAGTCGACTGCGGTTCTCATCCTGGACCCGGTGGCTTAAAACTCACACCGGGCATGTGTGCGTGAGTGCCCAAGATCCCGAGAGGAGAATGGAGGAGAAGGGATTGCGGTGTGGCCATCCCCCCTGGGGGGTGATTTCTTGCTTTCTCTCTGTCTGTCTGGTGAGCGCACACACCCTATAGTGAAAATCTCTCCAAAAAAAAAGATTTTGGGGGAAAATTATGAGTTTTTTTTAATAAACTCCAAATATGTGACTATAGCAACTTCGATGTTTTTAGTTTTGCTAGTTTTTCTAAATTTTTTAAAATAAACAGTCTTGAAAGTGCACCCATCTCATGAAGGTTGGAGTAGTATATCCAATGTTTTTGTTTGTTTGTGTGTGTGTGTATGTTTGTCAGAGAGAGGAGAGAAATCACCTCTCCAGGGAAGATGGCCAAACTGTAACCCTTGTCCTCCATTCTTCTCTCAGGATTTTGGGTGTGCACACATATTCAAGCAGCCTGCTTTTATAAGCCCCCTGGTCAGGACTCAAATTGTGCTGTTGGCCATGTGAGATCCAGCCACCTTAATCTCCACATCACCTGTTGGCCCCTCTTTTTCTTTCTAAAACATTTAAAAGTTTTTGTCTCTTTTTAGTCTCTTTTTTGCATTTAGTCATTGTACAGCTTTATGGAGTACAGTATGTTTTTTTCAAGCATTCATGCAGTATATGATAATCAAATCAAAGATATTACCATATTCATCATCGTCACCAAAGAGTATTACATTAAATGTACATCTTTGATTTTTGTTCTACTAGGTTTTAGGAAAAAACAATTAATGGATACAAGAATGCATGTAAACAGGGCATATAGGTTATGGAATGGCATACAACAATAGAATAAAAAGAGGGAATATGTATACATGCATGCTATCTAGCTTTTTAAAAATTTTTTTTTAATTTTGTACATTTAATCACCATACACCAATTTGCTTGTAAGTTGAATACACAACATGAATACACTTCACACCAGACCAGTTGAAGATACAAAACACATTATTGTCAAGAGCATAATAACCCTTTTCTGTGCCCCATAAATGTCTGGTCTCTCTGTTTTCCTCCTTAATGTCTTTCCTTACACTCTCCCCTTTCTCCTACCCTCTTTCCACACTGTCTCCAGATTATATAACCATTTCCAGTGTTTCTATGTCCTCTAATCTCTCAGTTTCCACAATAGAGTGAGGACAGCCGGTTTATCCAGTGTGCTATATTATCCAGTACCCTATATTGCTTTTTCTTATTTTGAATTTCCCATTGCTTAGATCTTTGACTTTTGAAGTCCAGTCACCTGACTCATTGCCAAAAGGTGCACAACCAGAGGGGCCAGCAGGTGGCATGGTGATTAAGGTGCTGGACTCCCACATGGCTGACCGCAGTTTGAGTCCCGGTTATGGTGGATTGAAAATCACACCAGGTGTATGAGCGTATGTGCCCAAAATCCCAAGAGGAGAATGGAGGTGAAGGAATTACAGGGTGGCCACCCCCACCCCGGGGAAGTAATTTCTTACTTTCCCTCTCTCTGTCTTTCACTGGCAAGTGTACATGCCCCATGTCAAAAATGAAAACAAACAAACAAACAAACAAAAACAAAGAAAAGTCACCCAATCAGAAATTTAAATTTAGGATTCATGTTGGGTTTGTGGAATAACGTGATACGGTGTTGGAAATGAGAACATCAAATGCCACCATGCATTGGAAGATTCCCATCGCAGTAAGAAGAGGGGGGCTGGTACATGGTTCTCCAATGACCAAATAAGACAAAACATCAGCTGGCAATTTAAAAATCATTATGTGTATTTTAGAATTTAAAGTTCTAAGAGGCACCACCACTTCTTTTTTGTGTAATGAGTTACAATTGCAACTATTTCATCCTGTGTTAATTTTCTCTTTTTACCCAGGTGTTAGAAGGAAAACCCATTTATGTTGACTGCTTTGGCAACCTTGTGCCGTTAACCAAGAGTGGCCAACACCACATTTTCAGCTTCTTCGCATTCAAAGAAAACAGACTTCCCCTCTTTGTCAAGGTAATGTATAGATGGAATTTTGTAATACATTTTATTCAAGATCAAGAAGGATTTGACTTTCTTTAGTAGTAGAGAACATTTGCTTTTCAACTATTTCCAGTGATTTTTTTACCAGTGATTTTTTTTTAAAAATCATACCTGTCTAAAGTTTTATAGTCCTGAAAAGCCAACCATTTTTATTTTGAAGTTCAAAGTAAACCTTTTTATAAAAAAAAATCTTTTTTTGGGGGGGGGAGAGGTTTTTGCTATAGGGCACGTGCGTTCGCCAGACAGACAGAGAGAGACAGACAGAAAGCGAGAAATCACCCCCAAGGGGGGATGGCCATGCTGCAATCCCTTCTCCTCCATTCTCCTCTCGGGATCTTGGGCACACACGCACACGCGCCCGATGTGAGTTTAAGCCACCGGGTCCGGGACTCGAACCGCGGTTCACTACGTGAGAGTCAAGCGACATAGCCATTACACTAACTGCTGTTCCCTATAAAAAAAATCTTTTTATTTATTTATTTATTTTTACATTCAATCACTGTGTATCATTACAGCATGCCAAAGGAGTTTTCTCACCATAAATACACTGTATATTGGTCAGTCAGAGCCACCACACGCATTATTATAGACTGTGACTGAGGATAAGAATGTGGGAAGACTGATTTACACACTAAGTGATACATAGTGATTAAACGTATAAAATAAATAAAAATAAAAAAATAAAGAATGTGGGCAATGATCACTTCATTAATTAGAAGTGCTGGGCACTCCTTCCCAAATTTGAAGGGAAGTCTGTTTATTTACTGTTACTACTTTTAGCTGTTTATTCTTAAATTTAAAACACCGTGTGTTTCACTTAAACCTGTTTTTTTGTTTGTTTGTTTGTTTTTTTTTTAGAGAGATTTGTGATAGGGCATGTACACTCACCGGAAAGACAGAGAAATGGAGAAACAGAAAGTGAGAAATCACCCGCATGGGGAAATGGCCATGCCACAGTCCCTTCCCTCCACTCTTCCTTTGGGATCTTGGGCACACACACACACACACACACACACACACACACGCCTAGCCTGAGTTTTAAGCTGCCCAGGACTTAAACTGTGATTGAATATGGGAATCCAGCAACCTAAGTATTACGCCATCCACTGGTCCCCAAACTTTTTTACTAAAACAATTTTTTTGTAATAAAATCTCTCAATAAAACCAGAATCTCACTTAAGGTAGCAAGAAATGATCTCAGATGGGGCTATAGAATTTATATACTTCATGTGTAGTCAACAAATATTCTGGAGATGGTTCAGTGCATCACAAGCTCATCACCTCTGCTGGGTCCTCGGGAGTCATGATGCCCTTTTGCATAGAAAAACAGAGAAATACGTCGTGACCTTCCTGATGACCCAGTCTGTAGGCAAGGCAGTCCAGGTAAGGGTTTGGGAGTATGTGCGCGAGTTCCATCCCCGACTCCTGTTCTGAAAAGGACCACACAGATATGAATGAGGAATTTGTGAATAATTTTGCTCTGCCCTATTTTCTAGCCACACACTTCTCTCCACTTTCTCACAACTTATCTCACTAACCCAGGGGCCCTACCCTCAATCCTCACAACATAGACTAGTTTCCAGTTTTCTAGCTTTTTTTCTAGTTCTATTTCAAGCTACTAATTCCCAGGTTCATTAGTAATAATTCCTCTTTATTCTTTGATTGTTCCAAGCACGTGTCTATAGCCCTCTTTTATAAGCTTTTCCAAATCTCTACTTCATCTTTCATTTTGCCCACTGAGGTTCGTTGATCAGTTGTGTTGCCACCACACTCAGCTGTGGCAGGGCAGAGGTAGTGGAGCTAACATGAACAGCTGTATAATTAAGCTGGCACTTGATGTCATTGGCATTCAAAAGTCACTCTACAAAAAAAATACAAAAATGGGCAAAGGACTTAAATAGACATTTCTCCAGAGAAAATATACAAATGAAGTGCCCAAAAAGATACTCAACAGCATAGGGAAAAGTAAACCACAGTGTGACATCACTGTTTACTCATTAGGATAGCTATTCTTTTAAAAAGAAGGAGAAAAAAAAACATAGAAAATAAACAAGTGTTGACAAGGATATGGACGAATGGGGCCCCTGATGTATTGCTGGTGGGACTGTAAAATAGTGCAGCCTCTGTGCGAGAAGTAAGATACACCCTCAGAGAGGTGCATGTAGAACTTGCCTGCAATCCAGCAACCCCACCTTGGTGTGTAACCCGAAGGCCTGAAAGCAGGAGCCCAGCGACCCTTAGCAGTGCCCTTAGCAGCATTGCCCACATAGCCAACGGGGAGACAGCCCAATGTCTACTGTCAGATTAACTGGTCAGCAGAACATGGTCTCTACATACAAAGGATATCACCTAGCTTTTGTAAGAAATTCAATTCTATACACCTTGTGGATGAAATCGATGTAATGAAATAAGCCAGACACAAAAGGACAATACTATATGGCTCTGGTTATGAGGTCACGATGGTAGTCAGATTCATAAAGACATCTAAAAATGAGCTGAATGATTTAAGATTTTGCCATAGAATACATATGCTTGCTGGAGAAAGACAGTGAGCGGGAAAGTGAAATCACCCCCGGGGAGGATGGCCACGCTGCAACCCCTTCTCCTCCATTCTCCTCCTGGGGTTTTGGGCATGCATGGACCCATGCCCAGCATGCGTTGGTAACCTTGGGAGTCCAGCGCCTTAACCACCACACACCACCTTCTGGTCCAGCTGAGTGAATTTCTTAAAAGTCATCCTAAGGGGAAGGGGCAAAGGAAGCCTCTGAGTCCTTACTTAGCATTAACAAATGAATTTTCAAGTGTCATCTAATTAAAATAAATAGTACATGTCAAGTATGGGTGAAGCGCATTTGTCTTTCTCATTCAAGGTGCGGGATTCAACTCAGGAACCTTGCGGACGACTATCGTTTATGAAGGAGCCAAAGTCTACCAGAGGCCTGGTGCACCAAGCGATCTGCAACTTGAACATCACCTTGCCCGTTTATACAAAGGTACTGTGCGATTTGCTGCACTGTAAAACTTACATAGTATAAGAATGCATTTTAAAATATTTTAAAATGAATAAAAATAGATATAATGTAAGCACATATAAAAATCATTTTTGATTCCCTGTCAAATTTATGATTTTTCATGTAAGAAAAAAAGTAATCCCACTTTATTTCCCATAAAATACACTTTGATGGAAATAATTCTATTAATACATACTAATGGAAGAGAGGATATTCAGTTTAAGATTTAACTTTTAGAAATAAAACAACTGACTTTATCTTACTACTGTTTCTGTCTGGTCTCTGAGACCATCTGGAGTATTTGGCCCCACTGAATTTGGAGTCTGCTAGCTTCTGTACACAACCAATTCACAGATAAAGTATTGCTGCATTCAGGTGACTTCATATTTTATCTTTTTGCGAAAATAATTACTTGTTCACCTGTATTTTAGAAATATTAGATAATTTTCCCCCCAAGGCGTTTGCTGTAGGACATGTGCACTCACCAGAAGGAAAGAGAGACAGTGAGAGGGAAAGTGAGAGATCACCCCCAGAGGGTTGGGAGGGTGAACATGTCACAGCCCCTTCTACATTCTTCTCGTGGGATTTGGGACATGCACACACATGTGCCCGGCATGATATTTTAAACCACTAGGTCCGGGATTTGAACAGCGGTCATCGATGTGAGAGTCCAGCACCAAAACCACATGCCACCTGCCGGCCCCGTTTTTCAATTATTTAAACGTAATTCGTATAAAAAAATATCTCCATATTACAAGGAGGAAATTTAAACCATTGTTAAAAATGGAGGAATTTTGAGAACAGCCCATGGCATGGCGGTTATGGCAGCTGGATCCCACATTGCCTGCTGTGCAGTTTGAGTCCCAGACCTGATGGCTTGAGAAACACACCAGACACACGTGCGTTTGTGCCTAAGACTCTGAGAGGAGGGAGAAATGAAAGAGAAGGGATTGCAGCGCGACCATTCCCCTTGGGGGTGCTTTCTCCTTTCCCTCTCTCTGACTCTCTGATAACTGCTGGCAAATTGAAAAAAGAAGGATCCTTTAATCCCTGTCCCAAAGTATACCTATAGGCAATGCTCTTAGTCAGATGTTGCCCTGTTATGTGTTTCTGATTAAATCTGAGAAACCAACTGAGCTAATTAAATGTTGTAGACAACTCCTTTTTATCACTTTTATGGTTTTTAAATCAATATTCCTTTTTAATAAGAAACTCCCACATGGATTCTGTAGGTGGCCACAGCGCCATCCGTGTGAGGATTGGGGAAGGGGTCGCTGGAGGGAGAGCAGTCTGTGCTCGCAGTCCCGCACCCCAACTCCATAAAGCAGCCTCCTGCACTTCTTTCTCCACACCGTGGTTGTCAAGCTGTGTGTTTTGTTTAATTAATTATTGTTGTAAATAGAGATCAGTCAGATGCATGAATACATTGACTTTTGTTGGGGTCATGAATCCCGAGTGGGTCTGGCCACATTGCTGTCCTAACCCAGCTGCTCCCTAAGAAGAGGGGACAATCACCCCTCCATTAGACCGCAGTGACATGCGAAAGCAGAGCGCCACTGATACTGAGCATTTCTTATGAGCAGGGTCTTTAGCAGGTGTCCCAGGCACTTTACCGGCACATCATCCCCATCACCCTTTGAGGTGTGTGCTGTTACTCCACACCCAGCTGGGCCCTCAGGACACACTGTGCCGAGCTGCCTGGGCTGGGCGAGCCTGGGCTGGGCCAGGAGACACAACGGTCTTCCCTGCAGTACCTCTCACCTGCATCATTGAGGCTGGGCCTGGCACGTTGCACGCTTGTTACATGATGAGGAATGAACTACTGTCTATACATGTAAATACACGTTAGTCAGGGTCAGAAGTCAGCCCAAATGCACACAATCTAAGTAGACCCCGTCTTCCAGAGTGCACTTTGGGGTTTGTAGTGAAGCTCGATCGGCAGTCTCCGGGGCAGAATGCCAAATAAGACCCTCACAGAGGAAGGTAGATGTTGGCTAGACTTCAAGGGCGGGGTTACACAGAGGTGAGTGCTCTTTGCCTCATTTCAGTGGGTTTTCACTGAAATGTGGGTTTTCTTGTATTGTGTGTGTGTGTTAGGGTTTTGCCATAGAATGTGTGTGCTCACTGGACAAGAGAGAAGAGAGACACAGAGATTCAGAGAGACAGTAAGAAATCACCCCCTCCCCCAAGGCAGAATTGCCACACTGTCATCCCTTCTCCATTCTCCTCTTGGGGTTTTGGGCACACACACACACACATACACACACACACACACACACCCAGAGTGATTTTCAAGCCATTGGGTTTGGGACTTGAACTGTGGTCAGTCATGTGGGAATCCAGTGCCTTAACCGCCACACCACCTGCCAGCATCTTGTATTTAATTTCTAAGTCAGGGCAAATCGGGCACAGTTACTAATGCTGTGATGGTCAGGACAGTTTTCTATTTAATAACTCCAAATAAAAAAGAATGCCAAATATTGCACATTTAAGATTTATTGTAGAATGTAGTAGCTCTTTAGCATAACAAAACTCCTAAATATTGCCTGTATGTTGAAAATATTTTCACCATATGCTTTTTTTGTAGCTTTTAACATTTTTAACCAATATCTGTAATACTTGGGATATCGTCATCACCATTTTCATCAACATAACGCCAGCAAGTGCATTAAGTGTCAAATTTTGAGACTGCTGGTGAGCTAGATCTGAAATTAGTATATTTATGATTTTAGATCTTTTGTCTCTTGAAACTACAGATTTTTGTATTTAAATCACTCCTCTTCAGTTTTCTGCCTATCTTCTGTGACCTGTTAGTAAGGGCAATGAGAGCGTGCTGTGTGCTTGCCTGTTGGTGCCTCTTGGCAGGTGTTTACTCTTTTCTTTCTTCTAAATACTCTCTCCTCTCCCTTCTCTCCTTTTCCATCTTGCATGGCATCTCGGGGCGGCAAGGAATCAGAGTCAGATCAAGAACAGGAAGATGAGGTAATTTTGTAACAGTGTTGTTCACAAATCCTTGCTGTGGCTGCTAGTAAGACACATGGTTGCATGGATAGTCTGTGTTCTTAGAACCGATAGGCAGCTCTTAAAGTAATTAAATGGTCCAGTTTTACTTAACCTCCCCGAGTCTCCATGGTCTCATCGCATGAATTAACTTTCGGAAACAGTAAAGCTGTCCTGTAAATTGCTTCCTTGTCTCTGTGCAGTAATAAATGAAGGCTATCTTGTTATGTCAGTTTTTCTCAGAGGTTAGTCTGAAGATGCCTGGATGTCAGAACTCTATTAAAATAGGACTGGAACTTTTATTTACCTGTTAAACTCCAGATTCTCATAAGCTACAGAGTTTTCCAGAGGCGATACATATGGTGACATTGTTATTCAGACAATCTATGGAATATGCACTTGTACATTTTAATTCTAGCATTTTCTTAGCTTTGATTTCAAATATAAATATTCATTTATAGATATCACACATAGACAAATGTTATTTGGGCTCCTCAGTATCTTTTAGGAGTGTAAAGGGGTCCTAGGACCAAAGAGTTTGAGGGTCAGTGAGATAAAAAGTTTAAGGAGCATATTGCTCATCCATATTGCTCATTAGACCATAATAATATTATCATGCAAAACTGTGCTAGTAATAAGCGTTTCTTCTAGAGTAGGTCCTGACCGGGTGCTCAGCATGCTCCCTTCACCCTGTGAGGTGTGTGCTGTTTTATCATTAATGAAGAAAGCAAGTCTCGGAGAGGTTACTCGGTTACTTCATGTACCATTTCAGTTCTACCTGCTTCAGTGTTTAAATCAAATACAAGTTTGTCTCCCTTATAACAATCTGTAAATGTCCAAATATTATTATAGAAATTAAAGAAATAATTGAAAAAAAATCTTTATATTTGCCTGTTACTATTAACAGTTTCTGTTTGTAAGCTAGACACATGTAATCGTTAGTTACTTGTAAATATTTTTTCATATACAGTTTTCTTTTTTAAAATGTTACTCTGATGCATTTGAAATACAAAAACATAAAAATAAAATAAATATCTTTTTACCCACAACTTAAAACATAAGGATGCATCAGTTCAGAGGAGCCTCTGAATTCACTTTCTTCCTGCTCTGTGGCAGTGGAGGGAAGGGCGGAGGTGGGCCCCTTCCTGCTGAGCACTGCCGCACCCACTGCCCACCTGGGGTAGACTGAGGTCCCCTTTCCTGCCCTTTCTCACACGCAGTTCCCTCCCAGCGCTTGGCCCAGTCAGTAGATCCCATTTACATTCTTTGGTAGTCTGGAATGCTGGCTCATTAGTAATGATAATGAAACTGCTTTTGTGGAACGTACCTCTTTGGCTCACTGTCCTTATCTTCTTTTCTCCACTAAATTGACTCTTTGTTTAATTTGACTTCAACCTACCCTGACCTTTCCCCTAATAAATACGTATTTCTAATGTCAAACACAGCCTGAGTGATCTCTTCCAGGATTAAGCTAAGAGAAACAACTTCCCACTTGTTGAGTCTAGGAAAAAGTTGTTCTTCGAAGTTAGGATGAGACTCACCAAAACCCTCAGGAGCAAGTGCAGTGAATCCCTCTGACCTTCTTAGCCTCCCTCAGAGTGGCCACGCCCCCTTGTCATGTACTGCAGGGACTTTGAGCCAAGACTTTATTTGTAACATTCGATTTGTGTATGTTTTCTTTCAGATCGATATGACATCAGAAAAAAGTAAGATTTTAAATAAAATTGAGTTTGTTTGAAAGCTGGCTACAGTAGAGAGAAGCATGAATTAAGATGCAAGCAAGTTGCCATTATTAACCACTATAATATATTATTGTATTAATGTATTTTATATTATTCTTATTAATCATCAATATATAGATTTGTAAAAGCAGCTTGGCCAGTTAAATTTGCAAATATATCTAATTCGTGAGCTAATTAGCAGTAAAACGCAATGATTACTCATCTAAGCATTCACTTTCTTTTGCCATCCCTGTTAACCCTGGTACTGCTGTTATGCTTGTTGAGAAGCACGCCCTTTGGTTTTCATCCATTTGTTAGCATAACATTGTCATCTCATTTTTTAAGCACTGACATGACAGTATCACTTTTATTTAAAGCAAGTGATGTCTGCAGATAGATCAATATTTTTGTAAGACACACATGCAAAAGTGATACTGTCTATTGATAACAGTCCTTACTGAAGCTAACTCCCCCCACTCCTGATCCTTCCCTCACACGTCGCACAGTGGTGAAGTGTATAGGGCTGAGGTCTAACAGACTTTTGTGGAAACTTTTTTTTGGGTAAAGAAGAACTAGGAGCCCAGAATGTAAAAGTTAAAACCTCTTGGATGAAATAACTCTTCAAAACAGTATGTTATAGAATAGGACAAATTTTAAATAATGATACAAATCCCAAAACTGAGCTAGTAATGGTTTTTATAGACCTTAAAAGAGCTATCTTAGATTCCATCAGGTGGCATAGTGGTTAAGGCACTGGACTCCCACATGGCCAATCAAGGTTTGAGTCCTGGGCCTGGCAACTTGAAAATCACACCAGGCATGTATGCATATGTACCCAAAATCCCAAGAGGAGAAGGAATTGCAGTGTGGCCATCCCTCCTGGGGGATGATCTCTCACTTTCCCTCTCTCTGTTTCTTTCTAGCAAGCACACACATGCCCTATGGCAAAAATATTTTTCAAAAGGTGTCTCAGAACTCACTTCCGGTCTCTGATAGTCAAACAGCAATTCACTGCCTATTCCTGGTGACTTTCTAGGTTCTTATGTGGAAACTGAAGTCTAATTTAAGCTTCTTGCTTTTATGTCCCATATGCTCTATAAAAATAAATCTGAATTTTGTAGTGTGTGGTTTTGTCATTTATTTTGCTTTATTGTATATCAGAGTGATATTTCCAAAAGGAGAAAACTCAGAGCCATGTTTAATGCAGTCGTCTGGCCCTGTTCAATGATTTGAGAACCTTCTCTAGAGCCCCAGTAATTCACTACTAAATTGTATTCCATTATGGGGATGGCTTTAATTTGAAGCTTGCCCTCATATTTAATAATTGTCAGGACTAGAATATTTGATTTTCAATGTTTTCATTTGTTTGTATAATTGAACACATTTATATTGACATGAATTATTTACTGTATTTATATGTGCATATTCACATGCTGTTTCTTCTCAACAAATACAGATTCTCTCAAGAGAAGGCACTTGTTTGCATGGTGTATTACCACTGCCTTCATCAGCTCTTTTTTCTTAAGTGGTTTCCTTTAACTCTCCTACTTTATTCATCAGAACTGCTGTGTTTCAAACATAAACTTATGATTGGTTTTGATTTAGTTTAAAAACAATCACTAACAAATCTTCAGCTAGGTATAAAATAATCTCTAAAGAAAGGCCATGTTTGAGAGACTCTTTCCTAAAATCTCTTTATGCATAAGTCTTTGAAGAGTTTGACTCTTCTCCCTGCCTTTCATGGATAAAAGCCCCCACAGCCAATGTCTCGAATAAACAACACTCAGCACCCGTGCTTGAACTTGTAAGGAAGTAAATACACTTCACCACAGTAACGTTTCACCTGCTTGTGCTGATCTCTCACCACCCACCTGCCTGTGTTTCAGCAAGGCTGCCCTCTCAGCAGTCCCACCTCGCCTTTGCTTTGCATGGAAATAACTTGGCTTACATGAGCTGAGCGTGTGTCCTGTGTGACTGTCTCTGATTCGCATCCCATTTTAACTTCAGACTCACACATTAGTTTAATCACAATTGTTGTTTCTGTTGTTTTTCTTTCCTTTCCTTTATTTTCCTCCTTGGTCTCTTTGTTGACGTGTCTGAACAAGGAGGTCGCTCCAAGGAAAGGGCCGTGCCTCTCAGCCCCAGACTGTGTCACTGTTAGGTGTGAATTTCCCTGAGAGGAGATGCCAGTTTGCAGCTGATCCAGATACACCTCCCACAGTCGTTGTAGATTGGCAGGACTAAATATACTGAGTTCCAGATTTCTGTGCTTATGTACATATGTACTGACATCACCAGGAGTTACTCTGAATTCGCGATCACTGGCTCTCTCCTAGAGGAAATCAACTCTCTGCAATTTCTAATGCTTTTTTCTTATTTCCCCCATGGTTTTTCTGTTTTATTTCATTTTTCAACATCAATCTGTAACATCTGAACAATCTTGAGATACTTCTGTGTAATTTCACTGTGTCCTTTGTTTTGATTTGTGATGGTGTGTGTGTGTGTGTGTGTGTGTGTGTGTGTCTTGATTATTTGTTACTGCTTTATTGTATGTGTGGGTGTGCTATAAGTCAGAAAATTAAGCAAGTTATTTCCTGCTCATTTTTCCTTTTCAGTTATTTTTGGTTAGCCTTGCTTTGCTTTTGTGCACCGAGACCTCGTGGACCCACCATTCCCAGCCCATTTTGTCGCCCCCCCACCACTACAGGAAAGGACGCTGTGTCGTTTCAGTCCTGATTGCATTTGCCAATATCTTTTTTGATTTCCATTTTACTTTCAATGTTTTTCATTCACATCAAAGATGATGAGACAGAATCTACAGAAACATCTGTCCTGAAAAGTCAGCTGGTTAATGAAGTTCCTGTCCTAGCAAGTCCGGATTTGCTCTCTGAGGTCTCTGAGATGAAACAAGATTTGATCAAAATGACTGCCATCTTGACCACAGATGTGTCTGATAAGGCAGGTTCCATTAAAGTGAAGGAGCTGGTGAAGGCCGCTGAGGAAGAGCCAGGAGAGCCTTTCGAAATTGTTGAGAGAGTTAAAGAGGACCTGGAGAAAGTGAACGAGATCCTGAGAAGTGGGACCTGCACGGGAGACGGGGGCAGCATGCCAAGGGCTCAGTCTGAGAGAGAGTCAGGGGACGAGGAGTGGGTGATTGTTAGCGATGAGGAGATAGAAGAGGCTAAGCGAAAAGCACCATTAGAAATTTCTGACTATCCATGTGTAGAAGTTAGAGTAGGTAAAGAGACCAAAGTCAAGTCGGAGAAAGACTCCACAGGGTTAGTGAACTACCTTACTGAGGATCTGAGTAAGTATGTGTCTGCTCACGAGAGGATACCACAGGCAGTTCCAGACACAGCAGGGGAGAAACGTGAGGTGCAGGCCACTGGCAAGAATATCCGAAATGAAGGGAAAGGCCTAGAGACCCAGAGTCCACAGAAACAGCACAAGCCAAGCCTGGGAATAAAGAAGCCCGTGAGAAGGAAACTGAAAGAAAAGCAGAAACAAAAAGAAGAAGATTTACCAGCTAGTGCAGGAAAAGCTGAACTTAAAAAAGGCAGTTCAGAAGAGTCATTAGATGAAGATATGGGCTTAGCTCCTGGACCTCTTCCCACTGTAAAGGCGACGTCGCCTTTGATAGAAGAAACTCCCATTGGTTCTATAAAGGACAAAGTGAAGGCTCTTCAGAAGCGAGTGGAAGATGAACAGAAAGGTCGAAGCAAATTGCCCATCAGAGTCAAAGGCAAAGAGGATGTGCCAAAAAAGAACGTCCATCGGACACCCCAAGCTGCATCTCCCTCTCTGAAGTCAGAAAGGCATGCACCACCGTCACCCTCCTCTAAGACAGAAAGACACTCTTCTCTTTCCTCCTCTGCAAAAGCTGAAAGGCACCCCCCCGTGTCACCATCAAGTAAAACCGAGAAGCTCTCACCTGTGTCACCGTCTTCAAAAACGGAAAGGCACCCCCCCGTGTCGTCATCAAGTAAAACTGAGAAGCTCTCACCTGTGTCACCCTCGGCAAAAGCTGAAAGACACTCCCCTGTGTCATCCGTGAAAACAGAAAGACACCCACCTGCCTCACCTTCAGCCAGGACAGACAGACGCCCTCCCACGTCACCCTCTGGGAGAGCAGAAAGGCACCCACCCACATCACCTGGAAGAACAGAGAAACGCCTTCCTGGGTCACCCTCTGGAAGGACAGAAAAGCATCCACCTCTGTTGACTACTGGGAAAGCCGAGAAGCCCTTGCCTGTGTCACCGTCTGGGAAAATAGAAAAGCAACCACCTGTATCCCCCACCTCAAAAACAGAAAGGATTGAGGAAACGATGTCTGTCCGGGAGCTGATGAAAGCTTTCCAGTCAGGTCAGGACCCCTCTAAACATAAAACGGGACTCTTTGAGCACAAGTCAGCAAAACAGAAGCAGCCACAAGAAAAAAGTAAAGTTCGGGTAGAAAAAGAAAAGGGGCAAATAATCCAGAGGGAGATGCAGAAAACAGAAAGTCAAACAGTCAAACGAGGTCAGAGGTTCCTGGGAACAGGAACTTCAGAACCCAAGAGAGGCACCCGTGCACCTTCCACAGGACCTAAGAGAGAAGACACACTTGGTGAAAAGGAGAAAGCTCTCCTCCACAAAATGGCTGAGCCTGTTCAGTCGGCAGCAGCAGAAGAAAGCCAGAGAGAGAAGGAAGTCCCCACGGAGAAGGTGGCTGATGAACAGGAGGACCCGGATCTGCAAATTAGCCCAGACAGGAAGACCTCTACTGACTTTTCTGATGTCATTAAGCAAGAACTGGAAGACAATGACAAATACCAAGAGTTCTGCCTGAGTGAAGAGACTGAAAAGGCACAACTGCACTTGGATCAAGTACTCACGAGCCCCTTCAGCACAGTGTTCCCCCTGGACCACATGAAGGATGAGTCCCTTCCAGCCCTGTCTTTACAGAGCAGTGCTGTGGGTGGCAGTTTTGAAAGCCTACAGCAGGAGGGGACAGTAGTCTCCCCGTGTGGAAGCCTGATGGAGGGGACACCTCAGGGTAGTTCAGAGGAAAGCTATAAGCATGAGGGCTTAGCAGAGACCCCCGAGACAAGCCCAGAAAGCCTACCTTTCTCACCAAAGAAAAGTGAGGAGAAAATTGGGGAAACAAAGGAAACCACCAAGTTAGGAACACAAACAGAAATTCACTCAGAAAAAGAGCAGCTCACAACCAAAGATACTACTGATGGCTCTGAAGAGCAGGGTACTGTAGTCTCAGGTGGCTTAGAGCCCTCCACTGAGTGTTTTCAGAAGGAGGCCACCCTAGACTCTGCCGGAGACCCCTGCCTCAAAGGAGAAGGTGACTACCTCGGCAGCTGCAGTGTGTCATTAGCTAAAGAAACACCCACGGCACCGTCTGAGAAAGCATCTGGTGACGAGTGTCAGCTTACATCCGACAGCTCAGCCCAGAGGACACGAACTGACAGCAAGGCTCAGGAATGCACTACCATCTCAGGTGAGAGAGTGGCCTCACCACCCTCTGAGGCTGCTGTAAGGACGGGTACAGGAACCGAGTCAAAATCCCAGGGACTCACTAGAAGTCCTCAGGGGTTAGAACTTGCACTCCCTAGCCGTGATCGTGACGTGCTCAGCCCTGCAGCTGATGAGTCCTTGGCAGTAAGCCACAAAGACTCTCTGGAGGCCAGCCCTGTGCTAGAAGATAATTCCTCACATAAGACTCCTGACTCTCTGGAACCCAGCCCTCTGAAGGAATCCCCTTGCCACGACTCTCTTGAAAGCAGCCCTGTTGAACCAAAGATGAAGGCTGGAATTCTCCCAAGTCATTTTCCTCTTCCTGCAGCGGTAGCCAAAACAGAAGTCTTTTCGGAAGTGGCCTCTGTGCGGTCGCGGCTGCTCCGAGATCCTGACGGCAGTGCTGAGGATGATAGTCTCGAGCAGACATCCCTCATGGAGAGCTCAGGGAAGAGTCCCCTTTCTCCTGACACCCCCAGCTCTGAAGAAGTTAGCTATGAGGTCACACCCAAAGCTGCAGATGCAAGCACACCCAAACCAGCTGTTATTCAGGAATGTGCAGAGGAGGAGGATGCAGAAAATGGGGATAAAAAGAGGTTTACACCTGAAGAGGAAATGTTTAAAATGGTGACCAAAGTCAAAACATTTGATGAACTTGAACAGGAAGCAAAGCAGAAGAGAGACTATAAAAAAGAGCCCAGGCAAGAAGAACCTTTATCCCCCTCTGACCCAGATGCTGGCTGTTCAGCAGACATGGATGAAAGGAAACCGGAGAGTGTTGAGGGTGACAGTAAAGTTCACGTATTAGTGACTTCAGAGAGCAGAAAGGCTTCATCCTCCTCAGAAAGTGAACCAGAATTGACACAGCTGAACAAAGGTGCTGACATGGGCCTTCTACCTGACCCAGTCATTCGAGTGCAACCTCCATCCCCACTTCCATCCAGCATGGACTCCAATTCCAGTCCAGAGGAGGAACAGTTCCAGCCCATAGTTTCCAAACAGTATACTTTTAAGATGCATGAAGATGCTCAGGAAGAGCCAGGTGAGCCAGAAGAAGAAAAAGACTGTGAATCCCATTCAGCTGAAGACAGCCATACTGTTTCCACTGATGGTGCAGATAGGTCTTATGATGATCTGAACAGAAATGCTGATAAGCTAAAAATCTGTGATGGCCATGGCTGTGAGCCCCTGAGCCCTGGTAGTTCAGCTGCTCTGGTCTCACTTCTCCAGAGCTCAACTGGTGACAATGTTGATGACCAGTTCATCATCCATAAAGAATCATTAGCTCTCCAAGACACTCATGAAAAAGACACCGGAGGAGAAGAGCTGGATGTTTCTGGTGCTGAATTTCCACAAGTGGACTATGCTAGTGAGAGCTCTTCATCTTTATGCTCTCTGCCTCATTGTCCAATATCTGAGGGAAAAGAATTCAATGAAGACATCTCCGCCACATCTTCCACTTCAAAAATGGAGACCACCCAAACCGCCCTAACCTGTGGGAGCTCACTGCAGGACTGCATCACTGCAGATGCGGCCGTTCCTGCACAGATAGGCAGATGGTCTGTGGATGTTCCAGCACCTAGCCGAGCTGAGACTGATGAAGTCTGTGACCCTCAAATCACAAGTCCTTATGAAAATGTTCCTTCTCAATCCTTTTTCTCTAGTGAAGAAAGCAAAACCCAAACAGATGCAAGTCACACCATAAGTCTTCACTCTTCTGATGTGGATTCTGTTTTCATCACATCTTCTGAAGATGTAGTAGAGGCAACCCCCCCTAGTACAACTGTTTCAAGCAAAGAATCTAATTTCGAGGGCCACAACATGGAAACAGGCTCCAGACAAGAAAGCACCTTGTGTGAAATGCAGCCAGACACAGACAGCTCGTCTTTAGATCCTGCTGTACCAAATACACCAGCAGTCACTGGGGAACAAATAAGCCAAGTTATCATCACTAAAACTGATGTAGATGCCGATTCCTGGAGTGAAATTCGTGAAGATGATGAAGCCTTTGAGGCTCGAGTAAAAGAAGAAGAACAAAAGATATTCGGCTTGATGGTAGACAGACAATCACAAGGTACCACTCCTGACACCACACCTGCTAGGACCCCAACTGAAGAAGGTACCCCAACATGTGAGCAGAACCCATTTCTCTTTCAGGAAGGGAAATTGTTTGAGATGACCCGAAGTGGTGCCATTGATATGACCAAAAGGTCCTATGCAGATGAAAGTTTTCACTTCTTCCAAATCAGTCAGGAATCCAGAGAAGAGACAATCTCAGAAGACATGAAAGAAGGGGCTGCTGAGGCTGAGCCCCCACAGTTGGAAACCTCAGCTAAGTCACTAGTACCTTCAGAGTCAAAAGAAGCATTGGGTGATGATGCAGACTTACTTGCAGATGACTTGAGTGAGGAGGTAGAGGAAATGCCTCCTTCTGATGCTCACCTCCACTCCCAGAGGGGGATCTCAGATAGAACACCCGTGGAGGAGCCTGTTTCTTCAGGCACTGAGGGCCTGCCCAGGATACACGTGGGTGACACACTTTTCCCCGGTGTGGTGCCAGTATCTGGCCCAGACTCTCCTGAACCAGTTGTCCGAGTTCAGTTAGATTTTTCCACAATCACTAGGTCTGTGTATTCAGAGCGAGATGATGATTCTCCTGACTCTTCCCCGGAGGAACAGAGATCAGTCATTGAGATCCCTACTGCACCCATGGAGCAGGTGCCTTCTGCTGAAACCAAGTCCAGAATTCCTGTGAAGTCCATGCCTACTTCAGTCCCAGCTCCTCCATCTGCAGAATATGAGAGCTCACTTTCTGATGACTTCCTATCCAGCCTAGACGAAGAGAGTGTGGAGAATGAGGCAAAACCAAAGTCCAGAATCCCCATCAAAGCGCCTGTCCCAAGAGTTGAGCAGCACCTCTCAGAGCTAGACTCATCTCTCCAGGCCGTCTCTCCTCAAGCACAGCACATGCCAAGCAGAACACAAGATGGTAGAGGCAGATCTGAATCTGATGCTAGTTCTTTGGACTTAAAGGCCAAATGCCCAGTGAAAACTAGATGCTCCCCTGAGGCAGAAACAGACAACAGAGAGCGGGCAGAGGAGCTTGAGTTAGAACCAGAAGAAGGGGCCCCAAGACCAAAAACGTTTGCATCCCGATTGCCAGTTAAGGGCAGAAGCTACACGACCTCTGGCAGGGGGGGCATGAGCCCCACAGAAGAAAGTAAGGAGCATTTCTTTGACCTTTACAGGAATTCCATAGAATTCTTTGAGGAAATTAGTGATGAGGCTTCCAAGTTAGTGGATAGACTCACACAGTCAGAACGAGAGCAGGAAGTAGTGTCAGATGATGAAAGTAGTAGTGCCCTGGAAGTTTCAGTGATTGAGAACCTGCCGCCTGCTGCGACTGAGCGTTCAGTTCCCGAGGACGTCTTTGACACGAGGCCCATTTGGGATGAGCCCATTGAAACTCTGATCGAACGCATTCCCGGTGACAGTGGCCCTGACCACGCTGAAGGTATTTGCAGCAGCTGGATTCCCTGTGCTACGCACGTCATAAACTTGATATTGTGTTTTTTTTTTCTTTTTTATATGTTTATTTGGTGATTTGTGTCTCATTTCCTTTAAGCTTTCTGTAGTGGTTAATGTGTTTGTGTAAACCTTTTGTGTTTTGTGCTTCTGTGAATTCTCTCTTCTGTGAAAACAATCTCAAGATTGAGTAATGAGAATGCTTATGGAAAACATAAACATAGTAACCAGGCAACAGCAGTCTTGCCTTTCTTTAGCCTCTGCACGGAAGGCCATGCAAGCTTTGAGTTTTGTTGATCTGGAAGTCTCAGGCTTAGCCTCAACTTAAGCACTTTGCTTTTGCACATGAATTTATTGGTTTTCATCTCGTAGTATGAGGGCTCATTGCTTTTTTCTTCTTAACTTCGTGTACTTTAAAATATTTGTACTTACAATTTTATAATTATTAGGAAGCCATTTTCTGCAGATTTTACATATCATGAAATTCCAATTGTTGTGGATCTGTTTTTGATTCAGAAAGGTGAGATTTCAGATGCCATTGGTAAATAAGCAAACTAACATAAGGTTATGCTATAGATGAATGAAGAATGTATTCCAGTTAGATGCAGCAGACAACAAAAACTCAAACTTTGCATAATTTGACTGTGAGGGGTTGATGGCTCTTTAAATGATAAAAAAGGAAACCACAGATGGCTTTAAAAAGTAGCCTCAATCTTCCAGTATCTCTACAATGAAGACTATTTCTCTTAAATTTAGGTCTTACAAAATTCTTATGATATGACCTAACAGGCTTGATCCTCAGTCAATTGGAGTTAAAAATGAATGGGGAGACTGTCGTTTATGGGTGTGGGTGAGCCATGTGCTGACATCGGAGCAGACAGGCAGCAGTGTGCCCGAGGACCCACACGGTGCGGCCTCCACTCGCCAGTCCTCCGCTTCCAGCACCACGAGCTCGGGACTTGTTTCTGGCCACACCTGGATAAATGCAGCGTGATCTGACTGACCCACCATCAGTAACTCTTGTGAATCTCTGATGTGTTTTCCTCAGGCATGACCTGGAAGTGCAATAATAACTGGTTAGGGGGTCCTGACCAGTTACCCACTTCTGCATCCTAATTATGATTTGTCTAGTGTTTCATGAACAAGATAAGTATCTTTTGGGGGCAGCCTTCTCTCCAATACTTTAAAAGTCCTACAATTACTGCAAATCGTTAACTTGTATAATTATGTTCAATCATTAGTCTTGATTAAAGAGATATGGAAGCAGATGGTTTTCACAATTCATATTAGATTTACTTCCTGTTCCACCCCAGAAATCAGGCAGCTACACAATATGATCTAAAATGTAACAATTTATGTCACTAGCATATATTTGGACAAATGACTTCTTCCTTCAGATGGACCAGTAGTTTGGTTCCTCTGCTGTCACAGACAACCTTTGGCCATTGTTTTTGACCTTCTGTAGATCCACAGGACGAGAAGGAACGGATTGAGGAAAGGCTGGCTTATGCTGCGGACCACCTGGGCTTCAGCTGGACAGGTAAAATGAGTGGGCCTGTGTTTTTAACAAGACCTGCTTGTTTAAATGAGTAGATGCAGCAAAGTGTCATGAATGACGGAAAAGGTCTTTTCCTTCACTTTTGCTTGAGGAAGACCACGTGGGATAGTTAGCAGTAGAGCCCAGGGCAGGCCCCTGGTCATCACTGAATAGAGCTTTAAGTTTGGAAATGGCCATAATACACCAACTGTAGCCGTCTGGTGTGTGTGTTGTTGGTTAAATTTACACTTAATCACTGTGCGTCTTCAGAGTGTGCCACCTGGTTTTCCCAGCATGAATACAGTATATGTTAGTCAAGTAGAAGACATTGCCATATACGTTACCCTCAGCAGATAGCCTTTGTTTTTGTGTCTATGAAATGTTTCCCTCGATCCCTTCCCTATTACTCTCTCCCTTCTATACCATCTCTACTATCTAAACAAACAAACACACACACAAACAAACAACTTGAGACTGGTGGTTTCTAAAGAACTGAAGATTTATTAACTTGCAGTTCTGACAGCTGGAAAGTCAGAAGGCACAGGCTTGGCCCAAGGTCATCCAGTGACATGGCAGAGGCTGAGAGGCACATGAGGAGTGGGCCTGCTGACAGTTGTCATCACTAGAACTAGCCTTTTCATGAGCACGACAACTCACTGGTTTTTGTAGACAGCAGTAATCTGCTCTGAGGCTGTCCGATCTGTTCTGGGTCGTCTGCAATGCCCTCGCCATGATCTGGTCACCACCCACTAAGCTCCACTGCCTTCCAACATCAGGCTCTAAAACCTGAAATTTTGGGGGACAATCCATAGTCCAAATTATAACTCCAATCTTCTCAGACTCCCTTTGGCAGTTGTGGGGAGAAATTACTGTATTTCCAAACCATTATTAGATGAAAATTTTTTTTCTTTTTTGGAGAGGTTTTTACCATGGGGCGCATGCGCTCGCCAGGCAGACAGAGAGAGACAGAGAGACAGAAAGCGAGAAATCACCCCCCAGGGGGGATGGCCATGCCGCAGTCCCTTCTCCTCCATTCTCCTCTTGGGATCTTGGGCACGCACGCACATGCGCCCGGCATGAGTTTTAAGCCACTGGGTCCATCCAGGACGCAAACCGCGGTCGACTGCATGGGAGTCCAGCGACACAGCCATTACGCCATCTGCTGGTCCCAAGATGAAATTTTTATAAAATTTAATTTGAGATTTAACCAGGGATCCTTCTTTTAGATACCTCCTGTCAGATGTTTAATACTGAAATTTGCTTTAGATGAATGTTGGAATACATAATTAATTAAATGTTTCACTCATTTTTTGAGAAACACAAATGTTTATTAACACAACATGAATTCTGAAATCAGTATGGTAATATGTAGGTTTTCAGAACTATACCATTTTATCTACTTGTGACTTCACATATTGAAGCAAGGTTGTCAGCTGGATTTCTTTTTTTTTTGTCTCATTTTCTTTTCTATTACTTGTAACTACTTCATTGCGACAAATAGCATAAAGTTAACATTTAAAGCTCATAAAGTTTAGGTGATGAATAGGGGGCTATAATATTCTGAGAGATAAAAATAATTTGGAATAAATGATAAAGCAGGAGGAATCTTCACTTCCTCACTTTTAGTAATCTTATTTTTCATAAATATTATTAAAATTTTCATTTATTTATTTATGAAACAGAGCAAGAGTGAGAGAGACAAGTGACCTCCAGGGTCTTCACAGCACAGCACTCCCCAGCCCTGCAACCAGCCAGAACCACGTGTTTGAGCTCGGGTGGACCTGGGTACAAGCCTGGAGCCCCCATGGGCCCTCAGCACTGGGCAGGCAGTGTCCCATGGCCTGTGCCAAATGGCTGGGCATAAAGGGAGTTGTAAATACTGATCTGACGACTTAATTGGGGGACCCAGTGAAGGGAACGATATAAAAATATCCCTGGTTCACTTTTTAGATCGGTGACATTTACAATTTTTATTTCCTTCCTTAAGTATGTATGTACCATACATGCATATGAAATGGTTTATATATTTGATGAAAATTCAAACCCCACAACCATACAACTGACATAAAATGAGAAGTAAATAGTCTCTCACACCTACAGTTGGTCTTCCAGCCTCATGCATTAAAGGTAAGCTAACATGTTTTCATGTGTTCCAAAAAAAAATGTTCCGTGCCCATATTTGTGCCTATTACCTAAAAGTATCCAACATTTTACTTGATAATATTCCTCATAAATATTCTGTCAGCATAGAAATGCCCATTTCATCCCTTCATTTTTAAAATTTTTTTTATTTCATTTTCTCTTTTACATTCAATCACATTATTTAGCTTACAAACCTAATATTTCAACGTGTGAACATTTCTCCTTAGTCCAGTTGATAAAACTATAAAAATATCTTCAACAGATTAGTACCACATTTCTTTGTCTCATTAATGTTTGTCTCTCTATTTTTCTTTTAAATGTCCTTCCTCAGACTCTACTCTTTCACACACACTATATCTGGTATTTACAGCCATTTACTGTGTTTCTATAACCTTTAGTGAATCAGTTTTAGTCATAGAGTGCGGACACTCGGTATATATTAAGTGGGGACATACAGTGGCTCTCCTTCATAGCCTGGTTTGCCTCACTCAGCAATAAATATTCCATATTCTTCCACTTTCTGTCAAAAACCAGGTTTTTTAAAAAAAATTTTTATGGCTGAATAGTATTCCATAGAGCATATGTGACACAGTTTTTCAATCCATTCATCGGTTTGTGGGCATTTGGGTTGGTTCCATGTCTTAGCAGTTGTAAATAGTTCTGCAATAAACATCGATGTGCAAGCAATTTTCTGATTAAGAATTCTTCTGTCTTTTGGATAGATACCAAGGAGTGGGATTGCTGGATCATATGGTAGTTCTATTTGTAGATTTTTGAGGAGTCTCCAAATTGTTCTCCACAGTGGCTGGATCAATTTCCATTCCCACCAGCAGTGTCAGAGAGTTCCTCTTTCACCACACCCCTGACAGCACTTATCATTTTTTGTTTTTTAATCTTCCTCCTTCTGACTGGGGCTAGGTAGTATCTCATTGTTGTTTTGATCTGCATTTCCCTTACAATGAGGGATGTTGAGCATTTTTTTATATGCCTTTTGGGTATTTGTATGTCATCTTTAGAGAGTGTTTTTTTTTCAACTCATTCTCCCATCTTTTTAATAGGTTGATCATCTTTTTTCGGAACAGCTGCTTGAGTTCCTTGTGTATTCTGGTTATCAGTCCCTTATCTGATGAATAATTTACAAAAATATTTTCCCATTCTGAGGGCTGTTGATTCACACCAATTACTGTCACACCAATTACTGTATCTTTTGCCATGCAGAAACTTCTTAGTCTGATGTAATCCCACTTGTCTATTTTGGGGATTATCGATTGTGCTTTGGGGATCTTATTTAAGAAGTCTTTGCCTACCCCAATGTCTCCCAGAGTTTCCCCAATGTTTTCCAGGAGCAGTTTTATAGTTTGAGGTCTTAGATTTAGATCTTTGATCCACCTTGACTTGATTTTTGTCAAAGGTGAGAGATGGGCGTTACTTAACCCACTGTGTGGAGGTTCCATAGTTTTATCAATGGCCTTTGTGAGAGATTTTAGGGTGCTTTCTGATAATAGCAATAAATACCCTTGTGCATTGGTATGTTTTGTGAGTATATCTGTAAGTCATATTCTTGGAAGTAGAATTGCTGGATAAAGGAACTGTATATTTTTAATTTTGAAAGACATTACTAAATTGCCCTCTAACAAGGCTTTTCTCTTTACACACAAACCTGACTGTGAAAGCATTCATGTAGAATATTAATGGTGAAGTTTAAGAAAAAGCCTAGTAGAGTCCTCCTAGGTCAATTAACGCTTCCTGGACCTCTTCTTTATGGGACATTGAATGAAATAAAGGAGTTTATCCAGCATTACAATACAGGCACAACCAATATTTATCCAAGTACCTACAAACAGAGTTTATGGTCCTAAAATATCACCTACCATGATTAAAAGTGAGAACTGGTCATTTCTGTTGTCTTCAGTCATTTATTTTTCCATTACATTGGTTAAGAGTTTTCATGTTAGTCTTGTTTGCATTTTGGAAGCAAATTGACCAGAGTTACAGGTACTTGGTCATCACCACCTCACACTCACTGAGACCACTGTGGGTCAGCAGTTCTGCCCCAAGGTGAGGAGAAATCCACAGCTAGTGCTAGAGAGACAGACATGTGGGAGCCACTTCTCATACACAGGGGTAACCGGAAAGAACCCAGACACAGGGCCTCACTCAGATCTCGAAGCCTGGGGAAGACTCAAGTCTTGACTTTAACGAGTTTACAATGTAGCATTTTCTCTCCTAGAGTTAGCAAGAGAACTGGATTTCACTGAGGAACAAATTCATCAGATTCGCATTGAGAACCCTAATTCCCTTCAAGACCAGAGTCACGCACTATTGAAGTACTGGCTAGAAAGGGATGGGGAGCACGCCACAGGTAGGTGGGGACTGTGAGGAAGATACTTGGTAGAAGATGGTGATGTCTTGCTCTTCGCCTTGTTCTTAGAAATTCACTAAAATAATAAAATAACAAGTATTATTAACATGAAGTACTGCTGTAAGCAAATGAAAACAAACTGTTCCCATTTCTAAAATATATTTTAAATATACTTTTTAAAAATATACAGACTGTATATTTTTTCAAAAACTTACATTATATATGAACAGCATTAACTAATGAGAAATTGCACCTGCACTGACTACTAACAGGAATGTTAATCGAGACTTAGAATGTTCTATGTATCGGGACCAACAGATAGAGTAATGGTTATGTCGCCAGACTCCCACGTAGTCAACCACCGTTTGAGTCTCAGGCCCGGCAGCTTAAAACTCATGCCGGGCACATATGCATGCCCAAAATCTCAAGAGGAGAATGGAGCAGAAGGGATTGCAGTGTAGCCATCCCCCTAGGAGGTGATTTCTCTCTTTCTCTCTCTCTGACTCTCTGGTGAGTGCCATGTGCCCTACAGCAAAAATCTCTTTAAAAAAAAAAAAGAATTTCTTACTTATTGACAGTGGACATGAGTGCTATATTTAGCATTGTTTTATCAGTAGTACCTTACCTTCAGTTCCTGATTTCTTTACTCCTAAATAACTTCAATAGGGAAAAAAGGTCAGGTTGATATTTGATATATCAATATGTGGTATTCTGACCACATCAAATAAAATGGGAAATGATGAATATAGCTGCTTCTTATCTCTTAACTTGTCTAAATTTGTCACGTCCTTTAATGTTTCCCAGATAATCTATCTAGGGCCCTCTCTTACTTACATCTAGTCTACAGTTCTCATTTCTTTCCTTTATATTTTTCTAGGTTAGGGTGTCAGATTTAGCAAATTAAAATAAAAATTTAAATCTCAGCCAGTCAAAAAAAATACTTTGGTATAAGTATATGCCATGCAATATTTGAAACATATGTAGGCTAAAGATACAGATGTCTTGCTCAACAGCGATACCTAAAAAATGATTTTTTTAATCAGACAATCAGATACCTTGTATGGTAATGTTATCTCGCAGTTCTACTTTCAGAGACTGTGTCCTTTCCTTTTGGTGCTAGCATTTTTGTGCCTATCTCTTTGTCTGCTTATTTTTGCAAAGACCCTTAATTATGCTTTGGTTGGTTCCTATATTATATAAAAAATGTAGCAAGGCAATGGATGGGAGAGATTTTTGAAGGAATACCTCTCAGACATAATGAGTGCTTTCCCCTAATATCTCAGATACCAGCCTCATTGAATGTCTCACAAAGATCAATCGAATGGATATTGTTCATCTCATGGAGACCAGCACAGAACCTCTCCAGGAACGCATCAGCCACAGCTATGGAGAAATCGAACAGACCATTACGCTGGATCACAGTGAAGGTCAAATGATGTGTGTGTGTGGGTGGGTGGGTGCGTGGGTGGGGTGGGGGTGGGGGTAACCCAGGCACAGAACCAGCTCTGACTCTCTGGGAAGAGGAACTGTGGCCTCCAGTGAGGGTATGTTCCATGCCTTGCTACCCTGAGACTTCCCTGCCCATTTCGTAGCTCCCTCCCCCTGCACACTGCGCATTCTCATTATTTCTCTGTCAGTGTGGGTGATCCATCCACCCATCTGGGTCTCTTCCCTCAGTTCCAAGATGGCACTACTGAGGTCGTATTTGTTTAACCAAGCCACCCATTTACGATACACCGTTCCATAACCAAGCCGCCCCTTCATGATACACCGTTCCATAACCAAGCCACCCGTTCACGATACACCGTTCCATAACCAAGCCACCCGTTCACGATACACCGTTCCAGTGCTGTACTACTTCCAGGTCCTAACATGGAACATTGCACTTACTTCCTCTTTTTTAAATTTAACAATTTCCCAGATGCACTGGGACCTCCAGCCGTTGACTCTGCCATCTTTTTTCATATTAAGAGTTTTTCTATTCTCATTCATTGTATACTTGACCGCTAGCTCATTTATGTTTTACGTTTTCTCCTCTTGCTTCCAACCTCCAATGTTTCTCTTTTCTTTATTGATTCTGAGATTATGACCAAGCTTAATAGTTCTTAGAAAAAATAAGAATAATGAGAAGCAAATGTCCATATTGTTTCACTGGAAAATAGACAGTAAAATTTACAGTATGTAAATGCTGTGCTCCCCCTTCTGCTGCAGTAGGTAAAATTTCCTTGTGTTGCTAAAGCCCTCATCTCTTCTTTTATAGATTATTTGCTCCTCTTTTACTCAATCTGAGGCTTAACTCTTCTGCAGCTGTCCATTTTGGCTTCCTATAACTATGTCCAGCAACATTAAAGCTTGTTTTATTAGGTTGCCATCTTTAAAAGTAACGCAGAGTCAATGACGCTTTCCCTCGTGGTGCCCTGCATTACCCCGGCCTGTTCACAGCAGACCTCTTCGAAGGAGCAGTCTAAATTCCTATCTCTCCTACTATTCTTTATCTTTCCATTCTCTCTCAACCTCTCTCTATGTTCCTTTCCAGTCTACCTACTAAAATTCACCAATTTTTCTCCACTGCCAAATCCGGTAGGCAGTTCTCAGATATCAAGTTACTTAACAACTGTTGCTTCTCCTTTTTCGGGCGTTCTTTAGTGGCTATTCCTTTTCTTCAGTCTCCCTTTCTTTGGCTTCTTACTTCTCATAGATTTGAAAGATGATTGTACCAGTGTTCAGCAAAAGCCTCTTACCTTGTCTCCATCCCCCAGTTCTCTCTCTAGCCCTATCTGTGGCTGTTCTCTGAGCGTTTTCCTACTCTGGAGATGTGGCACTTTCTATTCCTTTCACCCTGGAGAGCTCTTCCCCTAGATCATCAGATTCTTTTTTTTCTTACTTTATTTAGGTTGCTACTCAAGTCTCACCTTGTAAGAGGAGCTCTTCCCAAGTCTGTTAGCTGTGCTGGATCTGTTTACTCGGCAGGCTTCTCCTGGCCCACATGTCTTCCCAATGTGTGTCATAATACATCTGCAGAAATGCAGCTCTGCATAGAGCAGGGCCTTTTTTACCTTGTGGTTGCTGTACCTAGCATCTAAACCGCTCCTCTGCATAGTCGATGTTCATTACATATCTCCTGAGTGAATGACAGCCACCCCTCTGCTAGGAAGCTTTTGGTGACTTGCTGCCCTGGATATGCCGAAACCCCTTAGGCTGGCCCAAAACACTCTGTGGAGATCACTGACCTGGAACATCGTGGTGAGAACTAAGGGAGCTAACACCTGCCAACACTTAAGATGTGTCTGATACAGAATAGATATTCAAATGTAGCTGCTTTTCTTTCTTTCTTTCTTTCTTTCTTTCTTTCTTTCTTTCTTTCTTTCTTTCTTTCTTCTTTACGTTTTTGTTGTAGGGTATGTGCACTTGCTGCAGGGAGACAGAAGGAAACCGAAAAATCCCCCCTGGGAGGATGGCCACACTGCAGTCCCTTCTCTATTCTTCTCTTGGGATTTTGGGCATGCATGCACATGGCATGATTTTGAAGCTCCCAAGTCTGGGACTTGATTTGCAGTCAGCCATGTGGGAGTCCAGCACTTTAACCACCACTCCACCTGCTGGCCCTGCTATTAATCATTATTATTACTATGATGATGGTGATTAGTTTTGCTGTCGGGCACATGCATTCCCTGGAGAGAGACAGGGACAGAGAGAGAATGAGAAGTCACCTCCCAGGGGGTGGCATGCCACAGTCCCTTCTCCATTCCCCTCTCAGGATTTTGGACCTGCACACATACTGTGCCTAGAGTATCTTTCAAGGTGCTGGGTCCGGAACTCAGACCACTCAGCTGGTGATGTGGGATCCAGCTACCTGGACCTCCAAACCACCTGCCAACTCCCAGTCATTAGTAGCAGCAGGGTCTTCCTGCCACTCAGAGCCTAAGCCTTGACTAGCACAGAATGATTCCGACTGCTCGGAAGTCTCCATGGTGCTCTCACCCTCTGTCCTTCTTTTCTAAGTGCTTCCCCAGGTTTGGCGTTCCCCTCCACTGGGATGCCTGCCCTGCCCCTTCCCCACAGCCCCAGGTGTTGTCCTGGGACAGACCTCCGTGTCCTGCTTGTCTTTGTAGTCATGGCCTAGTTTAGGGTGTGGGAATCGCTGTTACTTAATACAAGGTGTTGACTGTATATGGGCTTCCAGCAAATGCTTAGTTTAAACTGTCTCCCCACCAGGGTTCTCGGTTCTTCAGGAGGAGCTGTGTGCGGTCCAGCAGGAGCAGGATGAGGAGCAAACTATTTCCAAAGAAGGCGAGACCTGTGACCGCCCCCCCATCGTGTCAGAGGAGGACATCTCTGCCAGTTACCCCCCTTTCCAGGACTGCATTTCCAAGACAGAGGGGGACGACTGGGCTACAGCTGCCCCTATGCAGACTCCCACCGAGCATGTGCAGCAGGGTTCCTCAGGGAAGGTGCATGAGCTGCCTGGAGTGTTGTCTCTTGAATATCAGCAGAAATACTTGTGAGTTTCAAAGAAAGAAAGCCTGTCAAGTGTATTTCCTAAAAAATAGGCCAATGTGGTGAGGGTGCTAGGCACATAGGAGTGCAAGCAGTTTTTAAATACTTTTAATGACCCTACCAGTAACACATGACAGAACTATGGGGGAAAACGGAAACGATTAAGAGACACTGACTGTGCTGTGTGGCATACACCTGTCGGGCCCACTTGCAGCCCTGAGGCCAACAGTGCCTCCGTGGTTTGCATTTCCATTTCCACATCCAAAGTCACGGTGAAAACATGCACTCCCCTCATCTCACGGGCTTAAGGTCTAAGAGAGCCCTGCAGAAGCCTTGTGTGAGAAGTTAGTGTCATGAGGTGACACAGTTGTCACTTGTGTGATGGCCACACCTCCTGTGCTCTGGGGTGGCCCAGACATGGCCTGCTCTGTGCTTCCCCCATGTGGGAGCACACATGGGGCAGCGTCTCTGTGGTGGCCCGTGGCCTGTGGTGGCCCGTGGCCCGTGGTGGCTAATGTGAGAATACAAATGCAGTGGAAGTTGTCCACACAGAGTAAAGCACCATTACAGTGAAGTGGGGTGGGTTAGAGTGAGAACAAAGAGGAGTTTCTTAGGGAGCAGGAGACAGAGGGTGCCACAGAGCTTGATGCAGCTCAGAACTCGTACTCCAGGCCTCATGGAAGCAAAAGAGAAAGAGCGGCTTATAGTACACTGGGTCTGGGAGAGAGAACAGATCCTGAGAAAGCAACTCTGCCTCTCTTAGCCCGAGACTTGGACATCCATGAGGCCCAGCACAGCATCTTCTGGTCAATGCCTGGGCTTTGTCCTGCAGCCTCCGAATGTGAGATGAGGGTGGCCTAGTAATGAAGCAGCTCTCCTCTCCCAAGCCTCTTCCCTTCCCAAGCTCCTGTGGAGGACCTGCTTGTAGTCCCAGGGGAGAGAGCGCAAAGGCAGAGATGAGGAAGAGAGAGGCCAAGGGGAGAGGGAGGGGGGACAGCAGGGGCACTGGAGAGGCAGTTGGGCAGTGGCTGAGTGGTACAACAGGAAACCGCTATGCCAGAAAGAAGCAGAAAAGGCAGAGGACTTCCTTACCTGGAAACTGAGATTGTCAAAGCTCGCACTGACGTAACTCCAGATTACACCAGTGGAGAAGATCTCAGTGTCAGCAGATCCTGGGTTGAATAATAGTATTCAGAGGTACAATAAGACCCTCACTCTATTTACAGTTAACACGTGACTTTATCTAATTCATCAGAATTTTCATTCTTCAAAAGCTGTATTATCTAAAATATATATTATGTAAAACTCTTCAAATCCTCAATATTACTTTAGTTACCAAAGAAAAGATTAAATTATAATAAATGTACTTTTCAGAGGTTAGGAAACTGTAATACATTGTAGGATGATTTTTACCTTTACATGTTCTCTGTCAATGCTAATTAATGACCTGCATCCTGTTCTATATCTTGCAGTATTATTTTTCTTCAAATTTCCTTGCTTGGCCAAATACACAGAACCTGTTTTGCCTGTTGTAGTCTCCAAAAATGAGCTCATTTTCCAGCTCTCTTGCTTGATCAACAGAAGCAAGTAGATGCCCCTAAGGTATAATTGGCTTTTCCTTCCAGTGTGACAACCCCAAGAACAGAAGCATCAGAAACTCAGCAGGCTACAGCGGGACCTGGCTCTCTGAAAACCCCTGAAGAAGTCAGTACCCCTCCCGAGGAGGAACCAGATCTCCAGTCCCCAACATCCAGAGAGAAAGGAGGCTCTCCCATTGTGCAAGAACCCGAGGAGTCCTTAGAGCACAGAGAGGAGACTTATCAGAAAAACAGCCTCATGATAGTGGAATCCATGGAGGGCCAGCCACAGACCTTTGAGAGACTCGGTGAAGATGCATCTTTTGAGAAGGTGAGACTTCCCCTCCTCTCCACTTTCCTGCCCACCAGTAGCACAGCCCCAAATCTCCTCTGGTTTTCATTTCTCTAATGGTTATGTTCTCACTCTGAGACAAAACGCATTGGCAGATTAGCTAACCTGGGCCTTGGGAAGTCCTCAATCTTATTTAAAACCTGAGAACCCACGAGTTTACACGAGTTTATACGTCATTCCGGTGCTTAACTATTGACCCTAATTCTATCACTAGTAACACTTCTGATAAGAAAAATAATCACTATCATGAAATCTATGTCTCTGACGTGGCTCGCAAGATGAATAAACTGAGGCATGAATGCTAGTGAGAGGGACAGACTGTCTCAGGTGGTCTGCTGGCTGTGGGTGGTGCTGTGGCCCTGCTGGGTCTCCGTTTGCATTGTCCTGGGTGATGAGCACACAGGCTGTGATATTGGGTGGAGTTGAGCTCTCAGAGCAAATTTTTCTCATTAGAGGAAGGGTAATTTTCAGATTATGTTTTCTCTGATTTATTTTAGGAAAGTCTTAGAAAAAGATAAGTATGCCTAATTTATTGCTTTCCTGAATGCCTAGATTCTGGATGGTGGCCCTTGCAGCATTTTCTAAGTCACTGAGTTTCAAAGATGTGAAGAGGGTTAGGGTCCATCTGAGGATACCAGTTAAACCTCGTATTCTCAGAGTCATAGCCTCAGAATTAATTGTGGAGCTTGGTCCCTTCCAGAATTCCTGACTCAGGAGGTGTCTCTAGGAGGGGAGGGAGAATGAGAATCTACATCTTGACTCCCCAGATGATTCTCACAACAGGGAAGTATGGGAACACCTTTGCATTAAAATTAATTCAATATAAATTTAATTATATATTATTTTTTCCTTTGAAAAAGTAGTAGAACTTAAGATAATTTATATTTTAGAGTGTCCTTACAACATCAATATAAGGCTTAGTGATAAGAGATGAGTTATAGGAAAGAATTTAAATATTTTAGGGGAAGTGATGCAGCGTATCTTTGAGCTTAAAATCTACATTGATTTTTATTCACTGTGACAGTGACATCCACCACTAGGATTTATCAAAAATAACGTCCCCAGGCAGATGAGGACTGTGTCTTGCTTTGGGTGGTTCTTAAAGATGAAGTCACCCTATCAGTGAGTTCTTATTCCGAGTTTGCCTTTACACAGTATTGCTCAGCTTTCAAGTCCCAAGCTGATATGAATACAGGAAAAGACATTTTACACATGCCATTTGGATTTAAAAGTTTCCAAATTCAGCTTAAGAACCAATAGGCTAAGTGAAGTCTAGACCTGAAACATTAATATAACTCATATATTTAATTTATTCTACCCAGGTCCACACGCTTGTAAAAAATCGTTCTGCAATCCACCTGCTTTACACAGGCCTGTTCCACTTGCTCTTGGAAAACACTAGTAATGTCCCCTAAGCTTCCTGTGTTGACCTTAATTTCTCATGAGCCTGATTAGGAATCCAATTTCAGTGACTCCTCTTGCTGACCGTATTCCTAGACAGTAGTTTCGTAATAGTATTTGAAGTATATTTTGATTTAGGGTGCACATTTTTTTTAACAAAGGAGAATACAGAACTATAACTGGTAATTTTAAAATATGTTAAGCAAATTTAGTTGAGTTTTTCCTTTTGTTAACAAACAACATTCCATTAGGAAAAGTGATTTGATATGTGACCTCCAAGAAATATTCTAATCTAAAAAAAGGTTCTTAGCCACAACTCTGACTTTGGGACAAACCCATAAAACCTGATTGGTCTCTGCATGTCAACTTCTCTGCAAAATAAGTCTAATATTACCCACAGAGCATCTTTCTTAAAGCCAGAGACATGCACTACTGACTAGATAACAACTGAGGGAATGTTGACTTCTGCAGGAATGTTCTGCTAAAAACATAAGATAATCCTATATTTTGGGGTTGGTCATTCCAAGCCTGAGTTAGAGTGGTAATGGCTCACGGTGTTACTGTGCGGCTAAGGCTCTACGTTGATACGCAGTTATTTATGAGGAGTCTAAGTACAAGAAGTCAGGTGGGCAAGCTACTTGTTTATTTGAACAGATGTTGGTCAATGGATTTTCTGGTGTCAGAATTTTTTTAGGTGTCAGGATTTCAGAATTTTTTATTTCATTCCTTCATCAAAAATACTCTGTTCTGGGGAACCAGCAGTTAGCGTAATGGCTATGTCGCTGGACTCCCACGTAGTCGACCGCGGTTCAAGTCCCGGACCCGGTGGCTTAAAACTCATGCCGGGCGTGTGTGCGTGTGTGCCCAAGATCCCGAGAGGAGAATGGAGGAGAAGGGATTGCGGCGTGACCATCTCCCCTGGGGAGTGATTTCTTGCTTTCTGTCTCTATGTCTCTGTCTGTCTGGTTAGCACACGCACCCTATAGTGAAAACCTCTCCAAAAAAAAAAAATACTCTTTTCCTACTGAAGCTTGAGACCAGCACACACTTGTTTCTGCCCTGCGAACTTTCCTGCCAAAGCCTCCATGAATAAAACCTTGAGAACAATGTGAACCAACACAGAAGTAGGCTACAAAATCACTCTTTGCATGGTAAACAAAACAATGCTTCCATGCTTCCTCCAGGAACTAACAGAGGAATTAGGTAAGCTGGAGGCCAGCTCAGATGAGGAGGCGATGGTAACTACCAGGGTTGTCCGCCGGCGAGTAATTATCCAGGTACCCGCTGCTGAATTACTGCACGTCAGGGACAGTCCTGCTCCTGTCCCCTTAGAGCGTGGCCAGCCTGGAGCAAGGAGGGTGTAGCATGCTCCTGAGAAAGTGCATGGCGTTAGAAAGCTAACCCTTTAACTCTTGTAAGTTTTATTTGTACAGAGATGCAGAAGCAATGGCGTTGGCAGCCTACCTGCAAGAGCGCAAACCAGAAAGTCCAAGATTTGGCTTCTTCAGCCCCACCCACCTCACCTCTTGCTTATGTCTTTGCTTGTCTGCTTGTGAAGTTTTATCTGACTTTGGTCAGGTTCTCTTCAGCATGCTATTATCCATCTGCTTTGTTTTCTTTTAAACAAACTACCTGACAGGATTTTGCATCTCAGCAATGCTTCTCAACATTGCCTTGTGATTTCTCACACTTCTCACATTCTGAGTACTCGGGTGTAGTCCCACAGAATTAGTGCCAGACACTGAAGTAACCCTTTTCTCCCAACTGTGCAGGGAGATGATATGCCTGACATACTCCCAGAAACCGTCACAGAAGAGTACATCGATGAGCACGGACACACCGTGGTGAAGAAGGTATTGTCTAGGTATCCTAATGTGGGTGACTTCAAATCTCCTGTTTAAAACTTTATCAATACTGGGCCAGCCAGGTGGCATGATAGTTAGGGCAGCTGGATCCCACATGGCTGACTATGCAGTTCAAGTCCTGGACCCAGAGACTTTAAAGACACTGGGCACATGTATGTTTATGCCCAAAATCGCATGAGGAGACTAGAGAAGTGATTGTGACATGGTCATCCCCGAGGATGTGCTTTCTCTCTCTCGCTGTCCAGTGAACATGCACTCCCTATAGTAAATTTAAAAAGAGTGAGTGAGTGAGTGAGAACATGTATCAATACTGTGATATCGTGACTCAAAAATAAGAAACATACGGGCCAGCAGTTAGCATAATGGCTATGTCGCTGGACTCCCATCTAGTTCACTGCTGTTCGAGTTCCAGACCCAGTGGCTTAAACTCACTCCGGGCGCATGCGCGTGCATGCCCAAGATCCTGAGAGGAGAATGGAGGAGAAGGGATTGTGGTGTGACTCTCCCCCTGGGGGGTGATTTCTTGCTTTCTGTCTCTCTGTCTCTCTCTCTCTATCTGGCGAGCACATGTGCCCTATAGCAAAAACCTCTCCAAAAAAAAGAAACATACATGAAATACATTTCAGGTTACTAGGAAAATCATTAGGCGGTATGTATCATCTGACGGCGTAGAGAAAGAAGAGGTGACAATGCAAGGGATGCCACAAGAGCCTGTCAGCATTGAGGAGGGGGACGGCTACTCCAGAGTCATAAAGCGTGTTGTGCTGAAGAGCGACACCACACAGTCAGAGGTGAGACCACCTGGTTCCACCTGGAGTTCAGACGAGGTGGCTAGAGAGGTCCTGCTGGCCTCACTTCTCTGCTCCTGCTTACAGCTACCCCCTCTGTTTGTTTGTTTCTTTCGTTTCCTTTATTCATGAGTCTGTGTACCTTTAAAATAACCACCATGGAAATTTGTAGTCATTAAACTCATTACGTTGGTTGGATTCTTTTTATTTCTGTTTTATATTTCATTCATAATTGACCACAACAGAAATCCGAAAGTCAGATTTTAGAAAAGTAAAACCCCAGGCTAGATGGCGGCATGGTGGTTAGGGTGGCTGGACCCCACGTGGCCAGCTGAGCGATTCAAGTCCCAGACCTGATGACCTGAAAGACATGCTGGGTTTCTGTGCCCAAAACCCTAAGAGGAGAATGGAGGAGAAGAGACTGGTGTCGCCATCCCTCTGGGGGCTGCTTTCTCACTGTCCTGCTCACCCCATCCAGCTTTCTCAAGTGCATGTGTGCCCAAGATCCTGAGAGGAGAATGGAGGAGAAGAGACTGGTGTCGCCATCCCTCTGGGGGCTGCTTTCTCACTGTCCTGCTCACCCCATCCAGCTTTCTCAAGTGCATGTGTGCCCAAGATCCTGAGAGGAGAATGGAGGAGAAGAGACTGGTGTCGCCATCCCTCTGGGGGCTGCTTTCTCACTGTCCTGCTCACCCCATCCAGCTTTCTCAAGTGCATGTGTGCCCAAGATCCTGAGAGGAGAATGGAGGAGAAGAGACTGGTGTCGCCATCCCTCTGGGGGCTGCTTTCTCACTGTCCTGCTCACCCCATCCAGCTTTCTCAAGTGCATGTGTGCCCAAGATCCTGAGAGGAGAATGGAGGAGAAGAGACTGGTGTCGCCATCCCTCTGGGGGCTGCTTTCTCACTGTCCTGCTCACCCCATCCAGCTTTCTCAAGTGCATGTGTGCCCAAGATCCTGAGAGGAGAATGGAGGAGAAGAGACTGGTGTCGCCATCCCTCTGGGGGCTGCTTTCTCACTGTCCTGCTCACCCCATCCAGCTTTCTCAAGTGCATGCCCTTCTCACAAATTAAAAAAAGGAAAAAAGAAAAAATCCCATTTGCTGTACAAGCAGCAAAAATGTTACGAACAGCCTGTGTACGAATTATTACAGCTCTTGTGCCTGGTTGACTCGCCTTCTGAAGATCACCAAAGATAAATATTTAACACAGAGATGTCTACATTTCAGAGTCACTGAAGTTGGGATCAAGAAACTCCTTCATTTAGTTTTTTTTTTTTCCTATTTTATTTACTTCTTTCAAGGACATGTTCACACTATTTGACATATAATGTGAAATTCTTACCATTTTGCCATTTATTCACATCTTCAAAAAGTTATTGAGACACAAGATTCTCTAGAAATCTGTTCGATTTTTCATAGCTTTTAAAGCTCTTCAGGGGAGGGGGAACTTTTATCTTCATAGTCCCCCCAAAAAAAGCCATTTAAACATGTGGAAAGAGTTTACCCTCACATTGTTTCATCTACACTGCACTCAGTAGTCGGTTTCTAGTTATAAAACAGGCCAATAATTTTTTTTAAAAGTGACTAGTAATGGTTGGTATAGTATGGAGATTCAGTCATTATGTAGATAGTACCAGTAGATTTTAAGTTTTTTTCCCCCTAATTCTACATCCTAATACTATTTTCTGGAAGGCTAGTGTGTAACATTTCAGTTGTTTCATTTTCATTGTTTTACTTTATAACTCAGAGAATATTCATTACATTGTGGCAGTCAGAAGTCCTCTGTGTGTGTCCTTCATTCATCAGGTGACGTTGTCTGAGCCCAGCATCTTGTCCAGGACCTCAGAGTTTCAGGCTGAGCCAGTAGAAGGCCGTCGAGTCAGCAAAGTTGTGAAAACAACCGTGGTGCATGGGGAGAGGCTGGAGAAGCACTTGGGGGATTCTAGTTTAGCCACTGACCTTCCTTCAGCCAAAGATGACTTTGAAGAGGTATAGAAGCATCATTAGTTTGTCTTTTTTGTGTGTTTATTATATGTTTTGTTTATGTTTAAAAAGAAAATTGTCATTTTATCATTCTGTACATGAACTCAAGCACAGGTGATTAAGAGAGCGCCATTTCTGTCTGAGTAATCTGCGCAGCGAGGCAGCCACTCCCCAGACTGTTGTGTTCATTCCTGTCACTTTGGAGTTTTTAAAATTCCAGATGACCAGGGTTCACTTCTGCTAAAACAGCTCTGGAGTTGGGGCACAATTATACATCTTTAAAAGTCAGAAGTGTCAGGACCAGCAGATGGTGTAATGGTTATGTTGCTGAACTCTCACGTAGTCGACTGCGGTTCAAGTCCTAGACCCGGCAGCTTGAAAATCACACCAGGCACATGTACATGTGTGCCCAAGATACCATAAAGGAGAATGGAAGAAAAGGGATTACAGCATTGCCATCCCCGGGGAGTTGATTTCTCACTTTTAGTCTCTCTGTCTCTCCCTCTCCAGGGAGCACGTACGCCCTATAACAAAAAAAAACTCTCTCAAAAAAAAAAAAAAGTCAAAAGTGTCTTATACTCCCTGTTAGTAAGGAAAAAAATAAAGATGTTACAAATTATTCATCCTAGCAGGTATTTTCAAATATAGCCAATGATAGGCATTAAAGAAAATTCAGATATATTCTATAATATAAATTGAAAAAATATATAACTAAAGTCCTGGTTTCTAACAGTTAGGATGCACCAACTGTGACTTATCTACAGTTTTAAAATCCTAAAATTCTGAGACCCTGAAGGAATGTCATAAGTGAGTAGTAAGCAAATTCGGCTATAAAATTTTATATAAACTGACACAGAGCTATTAAGACATGAAGTTTTGTTTTTTTTTTTTTTTTGGAGAGATTTTTGCTATAGGGTGCGTGCGCTCGCCAGACAAACAGAGAGAGACATAGAGACAGAAAGCGAGAAATCACCCCCCAGGGGGGATGGTCATGCCACAATCCCTTCTCCTCCATTCTCCTCTCGGGATCTTTGGCAGGCACGCACACGCGCCCGGCGTGAGTTCTAAGCCACCAGGTCCGGGATGCGAACCACGGCCGACTACGTGGGAGTCCAGCAACATATCCATTATGCTAACTGCTGGTTCCCAAGACATGAAGTTTTTTACAGACTTCTTAGGGTAAATGTTCATATGCTTTGCTGTTGGTATCAACTGATTGTTTACAGGGTGCCATTTCTACCTCCTCTGTGGTGTTAGAAATATCTAGTATACACATCATATTACCTTTCCAAAGTTCAAAAGGAAAAAGACCTAAAATTCAAAACCCTCAAGGGTTTTGCTAAGAGGTCACAGGCAATGTACAAACATCTACAAAATATTTTTGTTATTGACTTTTTTTATGTGAAATACTATATGTGTGTCCTTTGTCACACCACAAATATACTGAGAGTTTAGTGTGTGTATGTGTGTGTATATTATATATATGTGTGTGTATATGTGTATATTATATATGTGTATATATGTGTGTGTATATGTGTATGCATGTGTGTATACATGTGCATCACATACACACATATACACACATACACACATATACAAACATGTACACATACACACACATACACAAACACACACATATACACACATATAGATACTCAGACACATATATACACATGTACACACACATACACACACACACACACATATGAATGCATTGAGATACTAAAAAGCAAACCTTATTTAAATTAATTTAGTTTTCTTATTAGACAACTTGAAACCTTAGACTGTCAAAACCTGAATTACCTGAGCCTCAGTATGCACTTTGGGTCCTGTTCGTCTGGACTCTGGTCATCGAATCTGTCGTCAGAGTTTCCCGTAGAAAGCCCTGGAGCGAGGCGAGAAGGGAGGTAAAGCCCATCCGTCTGGATGTCAGTTAGCAGCTTCATAAAATAATGTAACAACTCTCCCTTGCAAATGGAAAAACTTTAAGAGACTCGATAAATAAAACCTAATAATTAAGAATGCTACTGGAGTTGTTTTTATCATTTATCATTTCAGGTGCATCTTTTCACTTTGTCAATTAAGCAAACTCATAGGCTGTTTTAAAGTCTGTGGCTCCTTCTGAGTTCTGTCTTTTTTCCTCTTACTTAGGCTTTGGGTTATACAGGTAGACACATGAAAGTCCACTTCCCCAGTTTAGTAGAGAATGAAGTCCTGAGAGAGGATGGATCAATAATTAAAAGGTTTGGGTTAGCATGGCATGCTTTGTCAACTAACACCATAAAACTTTTTCCTATTTTAAGAAAAAAAAATGGCAGAACCTCTATGTATACCTGAAAGGCCCCCAAGGGTTGACAACTGTCCTGCATTGGGAGGCTTTGGTCAAGTGACAGCTCTGTCAGGGTGTCATACCTGGAATGTCCTTGTGAGGCCTTATGGTACACCGTGGTGTAGGGACAGTGGATGTGACCTTACGCAGTCTGATACCCTGGGTAAGGCATCAGCTTAGTTGAAGCCAATCGCCGGGTTATCCATTGTGTTGATAGATCTGGAGACCATAGGAAGAAGAATCTAATCATTTGCTCACAAGCACATTTTGTGATCAGTCAGTGCATTCAGCTCAATCTCAGTAAATTATTACTAAATGGATGATTTTTTAATGATTCTGCATGTAAATAGCAAATAACATGAGCATGAGTTTTTTAACCCAGGAACCTGAATGTTTCTAGCCATGCTGAAGTCGAGGCTTTAGTAAGTTAAGAAAATGTCACACAAACAGGCAGGATGTCTCTGTGCACAGAAAGGGGGCTGGCTCTGAGGCACTCTGGTGGGCCCCACTTCCAACACAGATCTGATGCACAAACGGGGGAATCACTCTCTGCTCTTCTCTGTGTACTCTAGTTGTGCTGTAAATATTGTGCTTAGTAAAATGCTCTTGGCTTTTCAGCTAAAAGACACCAGGGGGACTCCAAGTCACTGTCGCACTTTTTCTTCATTGAAAAGTAGAGAAAGGACATCATTCTAGTACAATATTACTAGTTCAAAGCTATTTTAAGCCTCTGGAACACCAAAACTTGAAGGTTCTGTCACAGTTCCACCCTCCCCAACCAAATGTGAAAAATAGCAACAGCTAGGAACTTAGAAGAGTGTCATTGCTCTCTTAGAACCTTAAAAGTGCTGCACAAATTAAGGATAACATGTTTTTTAACTCTGAACTTATAAGTCTGTCATCCAATTATTCAGATGAAACCATATATAAATCATGCATGGCCTAACACTATGGGAACTCCAGCTTAGAACAGATTAGAGACCAGTTAATCCTGACTTCTCAGTTCCCTGAATCCCACAGCTCGCTAGTTGCAGAACTCTATTGGTGACATAAGACACCCACCATGTTTCTGCACACACACGTTTCTGTTCATGCTCAAGTTCTTGTGCACTCCAGTTTCTCTGCACACTCATCGTATTCCTGTACACACTCATGTTCATTTGCACACTCATATTTCTGTGCATGCTCAAGTTTTTGACAAATGCAGAGTTAGAAGGTAGGCAGAACTTTCAATGGAAATTCTGGGGAAACCTACTGAATGGATCATCTCCTACAGGGTTTTAAGCAGAGGTGCACATGGCATTGTGTTTAGGACTCAAGCTCAGGAGATCTTTGCTTTTGGCCCCATTGCACACTGACTGCTATTTTTTATTTGGGGTATTGCTTGAATTATCTAAGATTCGATTCTCCTACATGTTATAATAGCACCTGGCATGTAAGACAAATTCATCAACTATTCTTGGAATGAAGAGTTACAGTTACAAGTAAACAGTAAGAAAAACTGAGAGCGAACAAACTACATTATTAAGTCGACACACAAGAAAATAATAGTATGAGGTACAGTAGTGAGTTAGAGTCCCTTTACTCAAGCACTCGTCCCAAGAAAGTGAGGTGAGTAGAGGCCACTGATGTGCCAGGGCTGCGAGAGCCCAGCGGAGGCATTGGTCTGCCAACACCTTTCTTCTTCTTCTTCCCTCCCCCCGCCCCCAATCTCCCAGTGATGCGTCTGAGGCCTGGGAAGACCTTCATCTCTCATTGGTAGTCACCTTACTGTGTCTCAACAGAACATTTCTGGTTTTAAAGATCTATATCTCACAGAAAAGTTCTCCTACAACATAAATTTTTGAAAGTTTATGTCAGGATATGACTGAGAATTAAGCTGGCAGCTAAGATATTGCATACTAAAAAGTTATTTTTTCTGAGATGTTAAAAGTTACTTATGGAGTCCCTATGTCAGAAAACTGCTTTAATTAGTGCGTTTTAATCAAAGCATGACTGATTGCATAGTTACTTCTTGAGAGAGTCTTGTATTAAAGCAGTTTCACTTATTTGAAATTTTTTTCAATTTTATTTCTCCTATGAGAGAGAGAAAGGCCCCCAACCAGATCCTCATGCTGAGCTCTTCCCCCAGCCTCAGCCTGCCCAGACCTCAGGCTCACATGCACTGACTTCCAGAGAGGTTCGCATGTGTGTCCCAGTGCCTCCCCCTGCATCACTAGCCTCTATTTAAGACATTTCTTAATGCTTTTAAAAATTCTACTTGTTCCAAAACACACTTTTAAAAATCTCATAAGTCATTTTAGATAGTAAAACCATGTTCAAAGAAAGAAATGGAAAGATGTCTGTATCTGTCATACTAGTAGCTTGATGTAGCAATGTCTAGAGAGGTAAGACAGTAAGCACTTCTTATATAACGCTTGCTCGCCATACCCAGGGCTGCTTTCAGCAGTGAGGAAAGGGCATCATTTTCTCTTGTCTGCTTCCCTCCAGAACAACGATGAATAAAGCTGTTGCGCAGAAGAGGGCTGTGGTGCAGGACCAGCGTGGAAAGTGTGTTGACCTGGAGCATCTGGAGGATGTACCAGGAGCCATAGACCAGGACGACCTCCAGCGCGACCTCCAGCAACTCCTTCGGCATTTCCACAAGGAAGACTCAAGGCAAGAGGCCAAATGAGAGGCTGCCCAATTCTCACACCAGAAACCACCTGTTCACTCCGTATGCAACTTCCCATCTCATTAAAGGAGTGACCTAACTGGCCTAATTCTTACATTGCCACTTTTTGCAAATATCCTGCATTTAGTTTTATTTCCCCCCACACCCCGCTTTAACTATAAGCTAATTTGTGACCAAAGATAGTATATTTCATTTTGGATGCCATACCCACTACTTTGTCATGTCTGGGCTAATCCTGGAACTAGCCACCCTCTAATGTTTTTTGCTTCTGCACAAGCTTCATGAATACTCGTTGATCAGAAGAATGTTATCTGCAGACCTCTTCAAGTGACAATATACAGGAACCGTTCAGAGGAGTATCCATGAATGATATGTATAACTGAATGTTCAGATGACCAATGCATTACAAGTAAAACCACTGCCTATCATAACTACACTGGGCATCACGGAATAAAAGGCCTCTAGAAGTCATTGAATGACTAAGATATTGCTAACACAATCGAATGATAATACAGTTCTACTGCAAAAGAAGCACTTCAGACCTATCTTGACCTTAGAACTTCCAATGCCCCTTGCTAAAGATGTGTTAAAAACCTTGAAGAACTATCCTAACTCAGACATCACTGCTGGTGCTGGCTAACCAGGACTTAAGGACTCTCCACCAGCCACTTCAAGGGAGGGGATGGAGGGAGCAGATGGCCAACAAGGAAACAATGAGGTGTTCAGTTGGCTGCTACATCCTGTGGCATGCTAGCATCTTCAGGTCTTTCAGATTTTGGACACATTGGCAGGGTATTTTAACAGCTGTAACTAGTGTAGTTTTCCAGTTTTCACTGCTGCTTTAGCAAACCACACTGTCTTACTGGTGGTACCTTCTTCTGGCCACTGCACTGTAGATAATTAATTGAAAACAGGATTTACCCACTAGGCAAAGGTTAGACCCCTTCACCATGTTGGAGTGGTTTATTTTCTCCCCAAGGTTTATATCTTCTCTAACACCTGCATGTAGCATTTATAAGTCAAAAATCACAGTCAAACCCCCTCTTCTGATGAAATAATTTTTACCCTGAGTGAGCACTTTTCACTTTCCAGCTAGGTCTGTTTTACAGCTTGCAGACAAGAATGAAAAAATCCCTGAAATTTTGGTTTTGTTAAAATTTTTGGTTTATTTTCTTGAAATTCAAACTCCCTTGGAAATTTTGAAGTGCATTTATGCACTTGGTTTGCTTCAAAGAAGGGACTGTCACACACTGAGTGATTTCAATGTGTTCTTTATTCCTCTAGTGATTGAAGCTGTATAACATTTTAACACACACATATATATATTCACAAATATATTCATATAAACAGTATACATTTCGAATCAGTTATTTGTTAAAGAAAAGTATATTGAATGAAAATGAAATAAAAAAAATAGAGTCTAACCTCCAGAGGTTGAACATTTTTCAATTTTATCTGGTCTTTTCCTATTGTGAAAAAATGACTCATTGCTCCAAATATCAAAAACAAACATGGCACACAATGGCACTTCGTCATTTACAGGAACAATGCCAGGAGAGAAAATTTCCTGGAAGAGAGGTTTCTCACAAGCCAGACCTCCTAAGCCACAAATGCTAGCACTTTTTAGCAGTTGGATAGAAATTAAAGCATTCTTTGACAGCCAAAACGAAGTCCATAGTGAAACTTTCTGAGACATACCATGGCCTTTTTGTCTAGATCTTCACTGGAGCTCAAGAAAAGCATTTCCGTTGTGTTATTTGCAGTGCAGATGTCTGTGTAACAACATACTGGTTACTCACCTTTTTTGATTTTGGTTTTTGCTGTGCTATCAAAAAACTTGAATACTGTGAGAAGAAGTGAATTTTCAGTTGATGAATCAGCATCTTGTTCCAATGGTGATAACACTAATTGAATATATCTCTGAGGGCATGTATTAGTTAATGGGAAAAAATACAACACTAACAATACATAGCTGCAATGTGTACAATGGCCGATTTAATTAAATAAAATGTACAAGTGTTAAATGTGGCAATAGTGATTTGTTCTTTTTAAAAAATATATGAAGAGGACAAGGGATTATTAGATGGGATAGATTTGATGCCCACAGAAGGACAGAAGTTTATTTATTTTACTTTTTTCCCCCATAGCATGTTTGTTATTGTCAGAGAGAGACAGAGGGGAAGTGAGAAATCACCCCCCATGGGGGATGGCCATATCACAATCCCTTCTCCATTCTCTTCTCGATATTCTAGGCACTCATGCACACATGCACACATTACACATGCCCTGCGTGATTTTCAAGCCACCAGGTTTGGGACTTGAGCTACATTTGGCCATGGAGGAATCCAGTGCCTTAACCACCACACCACCTGCTGGTCCAAATTTTTTTTTCTTGTGGTTTTTTAATTTAGTTACTGTGTATACTCCGTGCCCAGCCTGTATTAAAGAAAGATTTGTGGGGAAAAGGAAGATTTCTTGTCTACCCTCAAGGCACTTCTGTAGTGCAAAAGGGAAAAACAGGGATTTATGTTTAGTTTCAGAATTGCTAGTAAAGAAAAAGTAAGAACTTGGTGATTTGGGGGTGATGTTAAAAGTGTAACTGAGGGGGGACAGCAGGTCGTGTAGTGGTTATGTTGATGGACTCCCACATGGCAGACCACAGTTCAAGTCCAGATCTAGTGGCTTGAAACTCATGCGAGGCATACCGTGCATGCCTAAAATCCCAAGAGGAGAATGGAGAAGGGATTGCAGCACGGCTGTCCCCATGGGGGGTGACTTCTCATTTTCTCTCTCTCTCTCTCTCTCTCTCTCTCTCTGTGGCGAGCACACACACCCTATGACAACATCTTAAAAAGAAAATAAAGTAAGAAAGAAAAAAGAAAAAGAGTAGCGAGGCAAGGCAGCACTGCAGGTCAAGGGCCAGGGAGTGGGTCCCCAGAGGCTGCAAGTGCTGTCTGCCTTGGGGGCAGCTCTAGCTCTGGAGTCTCATTTCCTTTTTCTTTTTCGTCATTGATAGGTAGCAGACATTTTATTTTTGTTTGTTTGTTTGTTTTTTTTCAGTTTGCCAGAAGGCATGTGCACTGTCCAGAGAGAGAGAGGGAGAGAAAATGAGAAAGCGTCCCCATGGGGCATGATCAGGTTGCAATTCCTTCCTCTTCCATTTCTCCCTCTTTCTGGGGTTTTGGGCATGCACACACATATGCCTGGCATGTTTCTCAAGCTACTGGCCCAGGACTTGAACCCTGAAGTTGGCCATGTGGGTTATATAACCACAGGCCATGGGCCAGCCTTTATATACGTATATCTAACTCTATATACGAGTGTGTGTATACATATATGTGTATACGTGTGTGAGTATACACACACACACATATATTTATTTTTATTTTTAATGAATTAATTTGCATTCATTCACTGAGCATCATCACAACATACAAAATGTGATTTCCCACCCAGAATATACCGCATAGTGGCTTAATCATGCGTGTGATCATCAATAATTTTCCAGTTCTAGTTACACACACACACACACACACACACACGTGTATGTTTATATATATTTTCCCCCCAATTTCTCACTCTTTGCCATTTCCCACCCTCCTCCCACACTGTCTCAGGTGTCTATAGTTGTTTTCCATGGTATTTGTAGTAATTGAATAGATACCTTAAATCACTGGAAATATTCAATTGGTAAGTCCTTTAAATATTTCAGTAAGAGCCATAGGTGGCATAGAGGCTAAGGTAGCTGAATCCCACATGTCCAACTTGGCTGTTTGAGTCCTGGATTTGAAAATCACCCTGGCATGTTATATGAGTGCCTAACCCAAGAGGAGAATGGAGGAGAAGGGATTACAATAGGCTATCCCCCTGAGGGGTGCTTTCTCACTTTCTCTTCCTACCCCTGCAAGTGCATGCACCCTAGAACAAACTTTAAAAATCTAATAATTTTCAGTGAGGCTATATGAGAAAATGGTAGAATATATGTGATCTTAGAGTGTGACCTGGATTAGAATCAATGCAGCTATTACCAACCCACCCACCACTTACTGTGCCTGCCTTGTGAATGTCTACCTCCTGGAGCCAGCTTCCCCATCAGTAAAGTAAGGGTTCTTCAGGATCTGTTTTTCCCAGTAGGCCCTTAAAGCTCAGTTCTGGTTTTGATTCCTTTTACAAACTTTCCTCATACTCTTTCTGATTTGCTTTTTTCTTCTCTCTGAAAACTGACTACAGAATTGGGTTCAAGCTACTCGAACTCCTCTGACTGCATGGCTGTTCTCTACTTGCAACAGGTCTGGCCCAGCCACTGCAGAGACCAGCAGACAGGGTTGGGCTTTTCTGGAGGAGGAAAAGGCACAGCAGCCAAAGTGATTGCAATGTCAGCAGGAGGTGCACCACGCCTGCCTCCCTGGGTGCTGATCAGAACTTGGCCCTCCCCTAACACCATGATAGAGCATCTATGTAGCACTAACAGCGATTTCTGGCTGAGGGTACATTCTGTGAGTTTTTCAGAAGGCTCATGATGGGTGTTGTGTTAAAGAATTCGCTCCAACTATACATTCTCATCCCCAAAATAAGAGGGACAGTTTAGACGTTCTACTGTTCCTAACAATCCCATTCTCATTTAGGATGGTGAGTTAAATTTCCGTGACTGCCATTACAAAGTACCACAGACTGGATGCCTTAAAGAACAAAGAAGTGGGGAAGGGAACCAGCAGTTAGTGTAATGGCTATGTCGCTGGACTCCCACGTAGTCAACCACGGTTCGTGTCCCGGACCCGGTGGCTTAAAACTCACGCCGGGCGCGTGTGCGTGCGTGCCCAAGATCCCTCTGTCTGTCTGGCGAGCGCACACGCCCTACAGTGAAAATCTCTCCAAAAAAAAAAAAGAACAAAAAAAAAAAGAAGGTGCACATTGGCATGGTGGTTAAGACACTAAACTCCCACATGACTGACCATGGTTTGAGTCCTGGACATGCCAGCTTGAAAATCACACCAGACTCATGTGCATGCCCAGAATCCCAGGAGAAGAGAGTAGGATGTGACCAATTCCCCAGGGGGCAATTTTTCACTTTCCTTCTCTGTTTTTCTCTGGCTCTGTCCAGTGAGTGCATGTACCCGATGGCAAAAATGAAAAAGTATATTTCTCACAATTCTGGAAGATGAAGATCTAAGATCAAGGCATGGATAGGACTTTTTTATGAGGCCTTTCTCTTTGGCTTACAGATGGCGCCTTCTCTGTGTCCTCATGCAGTCTCCCTCTGTGTAGGCACGTCCTTCTTTGTCTTTCTGTGTCTACTTCTTTAAAGACACCAGTCAGATTGATTCTAGTTTTGTTTCTTTTGCTGTGCAGAAGCTTTTTAGCCTAATGTAGTCCCACTTGTCTACTTTTGGGATTATTTCCTCTGTTTGGAAGGGTCTTCTTTAAAGAGTTTTTGGGACCAGCAGATGGCATAAAGGCTGTGTTGTTGGTCTCCCATGTAGTTGACCCCAGTTTGAGTCCTGAACCTGGTGGCTTAAACTCATGCCAGGTGCGTGCACATGTGTGCCCAAGATCCCTAGAGGAGAAGGGATTTCAATGTGGCCAACCCCCCCAGGGGGTGACCCCCCTAAGGGGTGATTTCTGACTTTCTGTCTCTGTTTTTCTAGCAAGCGCACACGCCCTATAGCAAAAACCTCTCAAAAAATAAATAAAATAAAAAATAAAGAGTTTTTGCCTACTCCATTGTCTCCAAGAGTTTTCCCTGTGTTTTCCACCAGTAGTTTTACAGTCTGAGGTTTTATGTTTAGATCCTTAATCCATTTGAGTTGATTTTTGTTAGTGGTGAAGGGTAGGGGTCTGGTTTCATTTTTCTGTAGGCAGATATCCAGTTTTCCAGCACCATTTGCTAAAGAGATTTTCTTGTGAAAATTTTACCAGATTTGCCTTTGTCAAAGATCAGTTGGCTCTATGTTTTGGGGTTTATTGGGTTCTCAATTCTGTCTCAGTTCTGTTCCATTGATCATTAAAATGTATGTTTTTGTGCTAATACCATGTTTTGATTATCACAGCCTTGTAATATATTTTGTACCTGTTTTTGAGCCAATACCATGCTGTTTTGATTGTCATAGCCTTGTAATATATTTTGAGGTCAAGAAGTGAGATGCTTCCTACTTTATTCTTTTTGCATAGTGTTGCTTTTGTGATATAAGACCTTTTATAATTCCAGACAAGTTTTATGATTTTTTTAATTACTGTGAAGAATATCTCTGATAGTTTGATCAGAATTGCATTGAATTTGTATGTTTTTTGTTTTATTTTTTAAATATTTTTACATTCAATCACTATATATCATTACAGTATGCCAAATTAATTTTCCCATCATAAATACACTGTGCCTTAGTCCAAAGATATTATCATACATGTTATCATCAACAAATAATGTTCTATCTTTGTGTACCTTAAATGTTTTGCTTCTTTCTTTTTCTCCTTGATTCCCTCCCTCTCACTCTCATTTCCCACCCTCCTCTCACACTGTCTCTAGTATTCACAGTTGCTCTTTATGACTTTATAACCTTCCAGTCTTTCAGTTTCTGCCATAAAGTGCAGACATTCAATATATATTGAATGGGGACATACAGTGTCTCTCCTTCATAGTCTAGCTTGCTTCACTTAGCAGTAAATCTTCCATATTCATCCAATTTCTATCAAATGCCAGGGTTTCATTGCTCTTTATGGCTGAGTAGTATTCTACAGTGTATATGTACCACACTTTTTCAATCCATTCGTCTGTTTGTGGACATTCAGGTTGGTTCCATGTCTTAGCAATTGTGAATAATGTCACAGTAAACATAGATGTGCAAGCACTTTTCTGAGCATTCTCCTATCCTTTGGGTAGATACCCAGGAGTAGAATTGCTGGATTATATGGTAGTTCTATTTGTATGTCTTTTAGGAACCTTTATATTGTTCTCCACAGTGGCTGGACCTATGTACATTCCCACCAACACTTCAGGAGAGTTCCCTTTACAACACAGCCTCACCAGCACTCAC